GGCGGCGACTCGTGGGTGTTTTCGCAAAAGGTGCTCCCCGCGACGTCCTTCCACGAGCACCAGAAGCGGCTGCGCCTGTGGGTGACGGTCAACCCGCCGTTCTGCACGCCGTCGGGCGCCGCCGGCGCGGGCGGGGTGTTGGCGGGGCTGAGCGTGCTGCGCGCGACGGTGTATGCGGCGAGGGCGGTGTTGGCGTTCTTGGGGCGTCAGTCTGCGGGGGATGGTGGTGGGGGTGGTGAGGGTGATGAGGAGGGGAGTGGTGGTGGCAGTGGCAGTGGCAGTGGCTCGCCGTGGTCCGAGGATATGTCGGATTATTGGGCCATGTATGTGTGTGCGCTGATTTGCTGGGCGTTCACATACCCTGCCCGAGGCGGTGCTGCGGATGGGCAGGGTCAGGGCCAGGGCCAGGGCCAGAGTGGTGCTGGAGGTGGTGGTGGTAGTGGTCGGGGCCGTAGCGCGAGTGGCGCCCCTGGTGGCCCTGCCGGAGGTGGAAGCGGGGCGAACAGTCCTGCTCTGACGCCGAATGGCGCTGCCGCTGTGGCGTCGGATGAGGAAGCCGTTGGATGGCTGCGCCTGGTGGCGGCCGAGGGCGTCCGGCTTGAGGATGTGGTGCGCGTGCGCGGGCGGCGAGAGGCGTTTGGGGTGGTGGGGTTGGTGAGGAAGAAGTTGGAGAGCGACTGCGTTGGCGGGAGGAGCAGGCTCTATGTGGACGCCGTTGGGGTGTTAAGGAAGCTGGAAGAGGGGATGGGGTTGAAACCGTTCTGAGAAGGCCATCCTCCCATCTCTCCTGGTCCTCCCTCGCTCGAAACCCCGAACCCTCATCATGATTCCCTGCAATCAACCTCCTTTACCATCTCGCTTTTCTCGACGCGCTCACGGGAAACTGCAACACCCCCCCGCTCATACCAAACACCAGAACCCAATGACGACTACGCGAGTTTCGGCTTCAGCTTTTCCCTCTTCAAGGGTTTACGATTTTCACTCCTTTTCAAGAATTTCAACCACCCATGGATCTAATGGATAAGCATAGTATACAGGATGATGTGGCTTTTCTTTTCTTCTTTGTTATTTTTTTACCTAGTACGGCATTTTGGGTTTGGTCACGGTCACGATACCTCGGTACGGAAAAGGGGGTTGTTTGGTTGAGTCCAGTCCTTTCCACATCTTCTTCAGGCGACGATTCTTCATCGTCTCCTTGTTCGTTTGTATTGTATTTGTACCGTTTTCCTGTTTCGAGTTTGGTTTCGCACATGTACTTTTATATGAGGCTGTGGTTGGAAGGGGATCTCATGAGACAAGATAATCTAATGATAGATGGATGAGATGGGGTGGTTGCTAGGAGACGGGTACTGAATAAGGAAGCGCGGACGGAAGGAATATACTGAGGCGCTGTCCATCCAGAATCAATGCTACCCATTAATGCTCGAACTTGGCGGTGTGTGACATGACCATGCATGTCCTACTTTAACTGTGTCTAGCAACCGTCCGTTCCTTTTCTCCTCTACACGTCTTATGTGGTATCCCCAAGCGCCATGTGTTAAACACGCACCCCGTTCCCGAGTTGATCAAAATGATGCCCCAAGCTTGCCCCGACTGAGTATAACGCCGATAATTGAAACGATCAAGGAAATACAGGTGTGTTTCTTGACTTGCTTCTAGAACAAGCCGTCGATCTCACCCGTCTCGACATCAACATCGACATTGAGGTAGCCAGGAGCAGTAGGTAAGCCAGGGATGGTCTGAATGTCAGCAGCCAGAGCGTAAAGGTAGCCGGCGCCGGCGGCCATGCGTACGTCCCGAATAGGTACCGTGAAGCCAGTCGGGGCACCCTTGAGTTCGGGATCGTGGCTAATCGAGTACTGCGTCTTAGCGATGCAAATCGGCAGATTGCCAAAGCCCTGGCGCGTGTAGGTATCAACCTTCTTCTGCGCGAGCTCACTGAACTCGACAGCGGCGGCGCCGTACATGTCACGGGCAATCTTCCCGATGCGCTCCTGCACGGTGCCTTCGAGGTTATACAGCAGTTTGAAATCCTTGGGCATCTCGGCGGCGGTGACAACGGCGTTGGCAAGGTCAACAGCGCCCTTCCCACCTTCAGCCCAATGATTAGCCAGGACAGCATCTGCTGCGCCAGCCTTGATGGCTTCTTCACGGACGACGTCGATCTCAGCTTGCGTGTCGGTAGAAAACTTGTTGATGGCGACTAGGACCGGCACACCGTATGACCTAGCGTTGGCGACATGCTTCGCTAGGTTAACACAGCCCTTGCGCAGCACATCGACGTTCTCCTCCCGGTATACGGCATCGAGTGGAGCGCCGGGCGAGATAGGCGGGCCGCCTCCATGAACCTTGAGGGCGCGGATGGTGGCGACCACGACGACCACGTCCGGGATCAGACCTGAAGTACGGCACTTGATATTGAAGAAGCGCTCACCACCCATGGTGAAGTCGAAACCAGCCTCGGTGACAACAAAGCCGGCCTTGGCTGCGTGGTCCTCACCCGGCTCCGTGCCTGTAAGTTTCAAGGCCATCTTGTCAGCCAGGATAGAGCTGTTACCAATGCTGATGTTGGCGAAGGGGCCCGCGTGCACGAAGACGGGAGTGCCTTCCAAGCTCTGCATCAGGTTCGGCTTGATGGCGTCCCTCATCAGAGCTGTGAGTGCACCACCAGCACCGATGTCGTCGCAGGTGACAGGGTCGCCGTTTCTCGAACTGGCAATGACCATCCTGCCGAGACGCTCTCGCATGTCACCCAGGCTGGTACTCAAGGCTAGAATGGCCATGCACTCGCTGGCCACAGAAATATCGAAACCAGTCTGGCGGCTGTGGCCCTTTTCAGTCGGCGCATTTCCGATGATAATGCCGCGTAGGTGGCGGTCGTTGACATCCAGAACGCGGCGCCAAGTGATGGTCTCCGGGTCAATATCCAGACGAGCAAAGCGAGTGATCTCGTCTGCGGTCAACGAGTCTGGATCCGTCTTGTCAATGCCCAACTTTTTCAAGCGGCGAAGCATGACGGGCGAAAACGCTCGCTTGCCACCCTTGGCAGGGACCAGCCTCCTGTAAAGAGCGGTGTCTTTCTGAGTGCTTTCGTGGAACATGCGGGTATCGATGGCGGCGGCGAGCAGGTTGTTCGCAGCAGTGATGGCGTGGATGTCACCGGTCAAATGCAGGTTGAACTCATCCATAGGGATAACCTGGCTGTAACCACCGCCAGCGGCGCCGCCCTTGATTCCGAAGGTCGGGCCCTGGCTAGGCTGCCGCACGTTGGCAAATGTGACCCGGCCGACATGCGCGCCCAAGGCCTGGGCAAGACCCATTGTCGTCGTCGACTTACCCTCACCTAGAGGTGTAGGAGTAATCCCCGTGACAACGACATAGCGGCCATCCCGACGATGACCGAGGCGCTTCAGCAGATCGAGATCGACCTTGGCCTTGTACGCGCCGTACGGTTCCAACTCGGAGGGCGTGATACCGATCTCCTTGGCAATCTGGGTGACGGGCTTAGGCGCCTGCGCCCGGGAAATGGCAATGTCGGACGGAACAGGGTCAAGGAGCTTAAGGTGCAGGGGCACAATGTGCCTCTGCTTTTCCACTTCGAACGACTGCGTCGCAGCATCGACAACGTTCTGAAGAAGCATGGCGACGGTCATGGGGCCCACGCCTCCGGGAACAGGGGTGATGTGGGAAGCGACTTGGGAAGCCGACTCAAAATCGACGTCACCCACCAGACGCTGACCCGACTTTTTGGTGGCATCGGGGAGGTAGTTGGTTCCCACGTCAATGACGACGGCCCCAGGCTTGAGCTGCTCGCCCTTGACAAAGCCCGGTTGCCCGATGGCAACGACGAGCACATCGGCATTCTTGAGGTACTGGTCCAAGTCTTTAGTCTTGGAGTGGCAGACGGTAACCGTGGCATCGGCATTCTTCAGGAGATAGCTGACGGGGCTGCCGACAATGTCGCTTCTGCCTAGAACCACGGCGTTCTTGCCAGCCAGTTCAATGCCCGCCTCCCGGAGAAGTACCATGACGCCCTTGGGGGTGCAAGGGACGAAAAAGGGGCGGCCCCCACGTTTGGCTAGCTCGCCGATGTTGTGGGTGCCGAAGCCGTCGACATCCTTCTCGCCAGCCACGGCTGAGGTGACATTGTACTCGGAAACGTGCTTTGGTAGGGGCAACTGCACAAGTATGCCGTGCACTGCTGGGTCGTTGTTCAGGGCGACGACACGGGAGATGAGCTCCGCCTCGGTGGCGGACTCGTCAAACTTGATCAGCTCGCAGGCAATGCCGCACTAGAGGGAACAAGTTTAGCGCACCATACATGTCAATGATGGAGGGTTGGCCATGCGTGGCCGGCAGCTTACCTCCTCGGCGGCCTTCAACTTCATGCGCACATAAGTGGCTAGGGAGCATTCAGCATCAGTAACCTAACTTGCTAACTTATCCCATGTCCTTATGCGCATGTGCTATGGCGGGGTAAAATAGGTGGGGGATCTCGTCGTGGCGGGAGCTTACATGAATCGGATCGGTCACCCACTGCAGCGCTTGGTGGTTAGTTTAGTCACAAATACTGGACCATATTAGGGCCCTGCGTTGAGCCTGTGGCGGGATGCAACGCACGCACCTTGGATGATCTTGAGGGACGGTTGAAACCGTGGGTTGACACCCTTCTTCTCTTCAATCTCGGCGCGCAGGCCCTCGCGCACCTTCCGGGCAATCGCCGTTCCGTCAATCTTTGCTGCAGCCATGACTGTTGCCGAACTAGAGAAGGCCCTGAGAACAGTCGCGGACGGGATGTGGTGGGAACGCAAAAGAGCGTTGGTGTGACTCCTCGAGCTCTTGGTGTTGTTCCCGAGGATTGGGCCCGAGACTGATGGAGCCCAGCGAATTGATGTGGGACAGCGCGGGGCAGCGGGGCCTATGGCAGCCGAGGGAGACCGCCGAAAGTCGGCTGCCAGACTGTTGACTTCTCCTGAGTCACATGTTGCTGCCGCCGTGGTTGCGGCACCATGAGCGGCGCGCAGCGAGCACGAATCCGGCCGTAGGATCGACAAATTCCTGCCATTCGGAATTCCCGAATGACTCGATTGAGGTTGGTTTGTGGTTGTCGAGCGGTGTGATAGCCTGGCTGTCGGTCCAAGTCTGGGGGCCGGAACCCTTTGGGCGAGACGTGAGAGAGTCATAGCAGTTGTGATTGTGCCGCTCCTGTTGCTCCTACAATTGTATGATGACTCGTCTCTTCGGCCTGCAACAACACCCTTCTCAACAGCCAATTGATTCTCAAACACGAGCAGGAAGTGGTCAAGAAGGTCCTGGGCCAACAGATCCTTACGGATTAAAAGAAATCTGGCGGTGGAGAGAATTCGGTTGAGTCACGCCCGTCTCAAAGGGTTTGTTTGTTCTTTCGACCGGGGGCCGGGGATCATGAGAGAGAAGCTACGGTTGACAGAAACGGTGCAACGAGGGACAGAAGGACGTTAATAAAGCAAAAAACCAATCCATACCGGCGGACACCCACGTTACGTTCTTAGCCCGGGTGGAAATCAACGAGTGGTTGAGTTGGCGGTCCGGGACCAAAAAGAAGTCCCTTACCTCTCTTCAAGCGCAATTGATATGTGACTTTGACACGGGACCAGGCCGGTGCTTGTCTGCCGCGCCGGGAACGGAAAGGTGTCCGTTTCCACTGCTAAGAGGGTTGTAGCGGACGCTGGCCAAGCTTGCCATATAGGATTACGTATTTGGAGCCGCTGGAGCTAATGCCCCGAAAAATCTGCGGTCACTTGTCCATCTGCGGGCCCTTTGGATGACAGGATGAGGCGCAACTGCACGAGGTTTCCATCGGCCCCGGTGAGGTGAGGTCTGAGTGACTCACCTTAAAACAGAAAGCGGTCAAGGACCCTTGCGCAAAGGATGACTCCACAGTCGCTGAATATTGAAGTGGGGCAGAATCGCCCCGCGATGGCTAGGGGGGTGGCCTATCGGCGGCGCGCACAATCTGCGGAAAAATTACTGGGCGCCCAAATCAATCCGACGAAAGAAGCCAACGCCCTGAAAGAAACGCCCCGCAATAGCTCGCAAAAGACGACCCGGCGCCGATAATTACCTGCACTTCCCTGCGGTTGACATCGAAATCATTTTCGAACGATAATAAAGGAGACCATCTCGACCGACTTCCAGTACCGCGAAAATGAGGCCTATCTTGTTGGCGGGCCACGAACGTGCCCTGACCCAGATCAAGTTGGTCGCCTTTGCAGTCCGAGGGGAAAGATTAAGCTTTGGATCTAACCTACTCGCTTTTCCGTAGATACAACCCCGACGGCGACCTTATCTTCTCAGTCTCGAAAGATCAACAGATTTGCGTGTGGTTCGCACACAACGGCGAGCGGCTCGGGACGTATCGCGGCCACCAGGGTGCCATCTGGACCATCGATGTCGACCCCACATCCACCATCCTCGCTTCAGGGTCTGCCGACAACACAATCCGCCTCTGGGACATCAAGACGGGCAAGTGCCTCAAGACATGGGACTTCCCTACGGCTGTCAAGCGGGTCGAGTTCAACGAGGATGGCACCAAGCTGTTGGGCGTAACAGAGAAGCGCATGGGGCACCTGGGCACGATCGTAGTGCTGGACATCAAGATCGACGTGGAGGCAGAGCAGAGCGATGAGAAGGTCATGACCATTGTGTGCGATGAGAGCAAGGCCACGGTCGCTGGGTGGAGCTACCTGAGCAAGTACATCATTGCCGGCCATGAGGATGGTTCCGTTTCCCAATACGACGGCAAGACGGGCGACCTGCTCTACAACATCCCCATTCACGAGCTGAACCAGCCAATTACGGATCTGCAGTGGTCTCAGGACAGGACCTACTTCATCACTGCCTCGAAAGACAAGACCTCCAAGGTATGTTTGGCAATGGTCGAGAGAGGAAGCGACTTGAACAATCACTGACTAGCCAATCCCAGCTCATCTCCTCCAAGGACCTCGAAGTCCTCAAGAGCTACACCGCCGACACACCTCTCAACAGCGCCGCCATCACCCCGAAGAAGGATTTCGTCATCCTAGGAGGTGGCCAAGCCGCCATGGACGTCACAACCACAGCCGCCCGGCAGGGCAAGTTCGAGGCCCGCTTCTACCACAAGATCTTCGAGGACGAGATCGGGCGCGTGCGCGGCCACTTCGGCCCGCTCAACACGGTCGCCGCCGACCCGACGGGCAAGGGCTACGCCAGCGGCGGAGAGGACGGCTACGTGCGCGTGCACGCCTTCGACAAGGGGTACTACGACTTCCTGTACGAGGTCGAGAGGGAGAGGCAGAACAGGCTAGCGGCCGCTAGTGCTTGAGGTTTCTGATGATGGGATTTGAGGGCGGTGGTGGTTCGGCATTTACAAATGGCGTTCAGGGACACGAAATCTGGGGCGGCGGATCGGGGTGGAGGGAGAAGGGACACCCCTTCCTTGACTTTGGAAGAAAAAAAGTTGGTTCTTCGCCCAGGTAGTGTTGTTTGCTCGTGTAGCTCCGTCTTGTGCGCTCCTCGGACGGGACGCGGATACCCTACATTGGCCTGTCTTTCAGCTGTCTCGGTCCCTGTTCTTGCCATGTTGATATTCGAGGCGCACTTGCTAGAGCTGAAACCAACGCATCCCACACAGCACGCATAGGTTACGGGACGCCAGTAGAAGCAGGAGGCAAATTCAGTGCTACATAATGCTGTGTCTTAGTATTGGAAAACTGCGGTTTTTAATCTTGCTCCAGCGAGCTCAACAGCAAGGCTGTCTCCCATGATAAAAGAAAAACCACCCGAACGCCGGCCCTTCCCCAATCTAGCCACCGAATTACCCCAACATAACAAACGAATGTGCCACCAGAGAAGGAAAAAAAAAAGTACAGCTGGCCATGACAGGAAAGGGATATAACCCAGCCAACATGCCAAATCATCGACGACCCCTCTCCCCTCTATCCACTTCCATCACCGTCTTCCCACACTTATTTCTTCTTGCCCTTGGACTTGGCCTTAGTGCCAGCGGCATTCGAAGCCGTGGACCCAACACTTGATGCCCGCGAGGGCGATGTCGAGTTGGCCTTGCTACCCGCTGCCGACTTCACATTGTCAAGAGCCTTGTTCTGTACCAGTGTTAGCTCGAATCCAGTGCCCTACCATACGAAATCGTTCATGCTCACCTTGACGCCATTCGCCTTCGTCTTCTTCTTAGCCGGGGCCAAACCAAGGATGCTGTCCTCGTCATTCTCGTCGTCATCCAGTTCCCGCTTGAACTTGCCGTTCACGCCATTCGCCTTGGTCGTGTTGACATCCTCAAACTCCTTGACAACCGTTGTGAGGAGCGTGTTGCAACGACGACCGAGCTCAGTCGGCGTCCGGCTCAGGAAGAACCAATCGAATCGGAAGAGCGGGCTCTCCCGAATCTCATCTCGAATTCGCTCGTAGATTCCCTCCGAATCTACGCCGTACTTGTCCAAAAGCACGAGCAAGAATCGGTCCTCCTCCTCTGTGTACACCTTCTTGTTGGTGGTCGAAACAGAATAGCTGATCTTGAGTTGCTGCAGCGGCACACGGTACTGGCTCATTTTCTTCCGCAGCATCTTGCGCTGGTGTTCAATCTTGCGCATTCGTTCCTCGCCGTCCTCGATGATCTTGAGGTACTTGTTGTAGTCGGCAATTTCGGTGTATCGCTGCCAGAAGACCTTGGCGTACGTCTTGATCTCCTGGGATGTCTTGCTGTCGACTTCCATAGCAATGCCTTCGTAATCTTGACGCCCATATCTCCCAGAGCCGTTGATGAATTGCTGGAAGTCACGTCGGTTCCAATCACCGAACCCTTGTTGGGCAAGCGTCTGCTTCTCCTCTTGCTCCTCCTCGGTGAGGGGCGTGGCATTGTCAATCTCCTGCTGGTCAAGTGCCCTCTCGGCCTCGCGCTCTGACAGGTTCTCATCGTCGCCGTCCGAGAGAGGAACCTTGTACCCAATCTCCTTGCGATAGTATGCTGTCTCCCGGTCTTGGAGGTCGCGGAGCTTGGGGGGATAGAACTGGTAGTCGTGGACCGGAACTTGCTTGGGCGCCCGGGGCGCTTTCGGTTTCGCATCGGCGGTCCTACCGCCAGTGTGCAAGGCTTGCTTGTAGTACTTGTCGATTGAGTAAATCTGTTCCTTGCGCTCACGCTTGGCTGGATTGATCCAGTTAATCCCGATATCCTTCTTGCGCGCGGCAAAGTCTTCGCCATTCCATTCGTAGGCCGACTCCGATGTAAACTTTTGGAGGTCGTCGATGCCCAGTTTCTCATACCTGGCATTGAGCTCCTTAGTCCGGGACTCGCCAGCTTGCAAGATCTCGTCGATGTCGTCATCGTTCAGCTCGTTGCCCTTCTCTGCCAGTGACCCAAACGCCCCCTTTGTCTGAAATACACGCTCTGCACCGTGCTGAATCATGGAGAGCAGTTCGTCCTTGTTGGCTGCCGCCTTGGCTGCCGCTTGAGCACGACCTTGCTGAATGACCAGCTGATCGAGGCGCAACTTCTGCGCCGCGCGCTCCAAGACCTTCTCCTCGATGGCATTATCCGTGACAAAGCGGTAAACAACCACCTGTTTGGTCTGGCCGATACGGTGAGCTCGGTCCATGGCTTGTAAATCGGCCTGGGGATTCCAATCGCTGTCATAGAGGACAACGATGTCGGCTGTGGTCAAGTTGATGCCAAGACCACCGGCTCGCGTCGTCAACAAGAAAACAAACTTCTCGGAGTCCGGCTTGTTATAATCATCGATGGCGGCGATACGATCCTCATGTGCCGTGCTACCGTCAATGCGGCAGTATTTGTATTGGCGGAACACACAATAATCCTCAAGGATGTCTAGCAGACGGCTCATCTGGGAAAAGATGAGCACGCGGCTTCCCTGTTTTTGCATCCGCTTCAACAGCTTGTCAAGAACAATCATCTTGCCGGCGTTGTAGACGAGATGCTCGTCGGTCGTGTAAGGAGGGCCGGGCTCGGCGCCTTCGAAGAGGTACGGATGGTTGCAACACTTGCGAAGCTGCATGACGATGTTGAGGAGTCTCGTCTTGGACTCGCGCTTTCCGCCCGCTCCGTTGACCGCATCGATATCCTTCTCGAGAATCTTTTGATACCACTTGACCTGCATCTCTGACATGCCAATGTAGACGTTGACCTCCTTCTTGGGCAGCAGACTCTTTTCTACGTCACTTTTGACGCGGCGAAGGAGGAACGGCCGCAGCACACGGTGCAGTTGCTGAACAACGGTGTCCTGGTCCCGATCCTGGCCCGAGAACCACTGGTCAAAGGCTTCTGCGTCTCCGAACACATCGGGGAGGAGGAAGTTAAGAAGTGCCCAGAGTTCGTGCAGGTTGTTCTGGAGCGGGGTACCGGTGATCAAGAGGCGGTTTCTCGAGTTGAACATGCGGATGACTTGAGCCAACGATGACTCCTCGTTCTTGATCCGGTGGGCTTCGTCGATGATGATGTACTCCCACGCAAACTTCCTCAGATGGGCCTTCTCGCGAAGGATCATCTCGTAACTGGTGATACAGACATCAAAGTTCTCATCAACCAACCGTTCGTTGATCAGCTGCTGACGCTCCTCTTTGGCGCCCTGCAAAACGAGCACGTTGACCTCCGGAGTCCACCTGGCAAACTCTCGCTTCCAGTTGTCGAGGGTGGATTTGGGGACCGTGACGAGATGGGGGCCCGTGGTGCCCATGATGTGACGCAGGTAACCGAGGAAAGAGATCGTCTGTAGCGTCTTGCCCAAGCCCATCTCGTCGGCGAGGATACCGGAGATACCATTTTCATGGAGTGAAATCAGCCAGTTCAAGCCGGCAATCTGGTAGTCCCTCATAGTGCCCTGAATGAAGCCGGGGGATTCGCGAAAAACGGTCTCGGCAGAACCGCCGTGCTTCTCGTCCTTGAGGAGCTCAGCATCTTCTTCCGCCTCGGTCCGGCGACGTCTCTCGCTAGTAGCGCCGCCCTGGCGACCACCACCTTTCCTTTGGTTGGACTCTTCCTCATTCTGGTGATCGATCTCGGCCATAATCTCTCGGATTTTGGGATTCGGGTTCGTCTCGATGAAGTGGCGAAACAGGTCAGTCAAACCCAAAAGGTATCGGAATCGGCGCAATGTGTCATCTTCCTATTAAACCGTTAGTTCCGATCGATGCGCAAAAGGTTGGAAACCCGCTCTCACCTTTGACTCGCCCAGCCGGTCGTGCTTCTTGCCAAAGATACTCCTACGTAACTGATTGGCTTCTGAGCGCCTCTTTCGGCCATCGGCGACAGGTTCACCAGCTACGCTGCTGGCAGTGGTGTTAGGGTTTGTGTCCGAGTCGGTATAATCAGGGGTTTCGTCAACGTCCTGGAGAGTTGGATGATTAGCCCGTTTGGTCGCCACTAAGCAGTTGTGCAGAGTTCGTGAAACGAGGGGTGAGCCACTCTTACCATATCGTCGGCCGCTTGCGAAGGTGGGTTCTGCCCTGGGGCATCTGGCATTGACGCGTCGGTGTCATTGCCACTCTGTCGTGGACGGGGAGCCATGTTGGCTACTGCACGCTCGCGAATCGTGGAGCTGCGGTACGCGACTTAGACGCGCTGGTTCGTGAATACTAGTGAATGTGCGTGATGAAAAGAAGGTTTCTTTCTATCTAGCGTAATTTGGGCGATGATTGTGAGTCTCGTGGCTGTGACAGAGACGAGGACAAGAAAGGTTCGGAGTAGGGTGTTTGAAGATGGGTGGGTGTGCTAAATGCTAGGCAGGGTGCGAATTTCTGAGGTCGAAGGACCCCAAAAAAGGTCCAAACCGCGTCCACAGCCAATCACAGCCGGCATACGGCAGAGGGGATTCAAGGACGGCCGACTCAGGTTTCTGCTACAGAAAAAGGAAAAAATAATGAAGAAACCAGAGGTCGAGTCGCACAACAAACTTTTTCGAGGCTCTCAAAAAACTAAATTACTTTTCAGACCTTTTGTCACCAACTTCACAATTCTTTGGATTGGGCGTTGCGAAATCTCGAGTTTTGCGGAAGATAGAGCAAGGCTGAACACTCGCTAACGAGTTCCAACAACTCCTGTGCTGTGTGGGGTTGGAGCCTCATGAAGGTGACAAAGCGGAATTGCCTCGAGGTAACAAGACCTAGATACAACACAACAAGGTAGATCGCACACAATATAGTTAGGTGTCGGGAGTCCATCGAAATCTAGGTGTCTCTACCCTCGCTGCCGAATACCTTCTTGCTCCCCCGTTCCGGTTCATTTTTCCTAGTTCTGCTGCCAACCCCTCGAGATCTGAAGGGATGTTTTGCTCACTCATTTGTTCTTAACGCTCTTCTAACTCCCCTCTGAGACTGGCATTCAGAACTAAGGTAGTTTTATTGATCAAGGGAAAATGTATACATTTATAGTTGCTCAATGCCCCCCATCCCCCATCCCCCCATCCTCACTTACATCAACGGGTAATTGAGTGCACAAGCCACCCGCCTTCAAGCCGTCTGCCACATGGCTCAAAGCCACATGGTTCCAAGCCACAGCAAGCTCCTGTGCCTTGTCCGCGAAACACGTTGCTGCCCCCACCACCAGCGTTACCAAGCACATTTAACCAATTACCCTTGGCCGTGGCGCTCGGACCACTGCTGCTCCTGAACCGAATTCAGTTCATGGAGAGCTGACAACACAGCGCCGTAAGCCGACTATCTTCCTCATATTGTAGAGGCCTAAAAACAACGCCCATCTCGAGACAATAAGCACGGGACACTCTTCCCTCAACCGCTCACAACCGCAAAAGTGGGATATCCAGCGCCGTCCTTGGGGAAACCCCGACTGTCCCGCTACGACGTCGGTGGTCCCCGTCTCCGCCTTGGCCCACCTCCGTCCATCTTGGCCCTGCTCGGTTTAGTGAAAACCCCTCAATCTCCCGGTCGAAGTCGAATCCACTGGAACGCCGTCGACAGCGAGCAAAACCCAACTTGCTCGTGCGGGATACATCTGACCGACCTCAAAGCTCCTATTCGACCACCAGTGCGCGGTATCTCGTCAGTTGGCCTCCACACAATGAGCGCCGAGGCGAACGAGCTACTCGATGCCTTCAAGGCCGCAGCGCTCTCGGTGACAAAGCTTTATAAGACTTCGGCCCAGGCGCAAACCAAATCGCGCGCCGATGGATACCATGACTGCCTAGAAGATTTGCTGTCTTTTCTAGACAGGGAGAATATTGGCATGCGGAATGGGGAAGCGTACAGGGTCCGGAAATGGGTCATGGACCGCATGGAGGGTCGAGATTCAACATCCCCACCGCTCGAGAGCGACGACGAAGCCGATCGATCGGATACACCACAAGTTCTATCTTCGCCGCACGTGCAGCGAGGTGTCCCCGCAGCAGCACAACGGGAGAGGGACAAGGAAGAGGTCCTGACGAGAGACGCCTCAGCACCGCCCGTTCTGGCAGCAGTGCCGATTCCACCCAGGCCCGCGGTGGAGGAAGTCGACATTATCGTCCCCTCTCAAGACAACTTCAACTTCTCAACAACACATCCTTATCCCCACGACGAAGCCCTACGGCTTGCCAACCTCGATCTCTCGGACCCCCAAACGATCAGCCCTTCCAACGCTCGTGCCACATCTCGCGGCGGGAGGAACAGAAACGGACGGACAGGGACCAGGACTGCGCTGGGAAGAGGGGCTGGACAAAAACGGAAAGTCAACCTGGCCGAGATATTTGATCTGGGCAGCCTGGAGTACGGCAACGGCAGGGATATGTTTGGGGGCGGGGGCAAACGAAGCCGCTTTGCATGAGAAAGGTCGAACCCAGCCAAATTTCGCGCGTGATGCTGCCTTCTGCGAAGGCCGTGGGGTATTTTTTTGCGGGAGGAATGGGACGCGCTCTTCACTCATATTGCATCGCATTCCTGGGAGCGCATGGACACGGACACGGACACATAATGACACTTGGGCATCTGGGGAGGGACATGGAAAGGAGGCGGAACATTACCTAGATGGAGCATATCCGGGCGTTTACTTGATACCACGCAGGACGGCATACTATTTTTCCTTTTGTTGTATGTAGACGTTGGCTCGGTGCGAGCCATCTTGCCGCCGATATAACGTTACAATACCCCGGTTCTTTTGGTCTCCAAACAAAAATGCTTTGGCCCCCCAAGCAGCCAGCCCGACCCATCTTCACCTCGCCTACCTAGTATGTGTGTGCTCTAGAACACCCTCTTTGTACCCATATCCGTGTGAGGAAAATTAGTAGAGGAAACAATTTCTATCCCCCGGGACCACACCCGCTGCCGTGTGTGGATTGCAGGTCAACCAACAACAATGAATGGAATGCAGGCCGGCCCTTCGGGGACCTCCCCCCGGATTGCTGGTCCCACCGATGCCAGACGCTGCTTGGCTTGACGATCTCTGGGTTTTGACGAAACATCATTGGATGTTTAATCCGACCGCCGCCGAGGCTCGAGTGCCACGATCGGCTAGCGGTGTACATATTGCTGATTGCTCGTTCATCCGAAGTAATGTGCCGGTCGATGCCTCTGAAATACGAAGACAGGTGACTGCCTCCCACAGGCTGTCTTTCTCTAAAGCTCAGTCTAAATTGAGGCTCAAAAAGCCCGTCAACTTACTAAAAGCTCGGCTTCGGAGTCAAAACCTGCAGGATGCATTTCACCCAGCTTGGCAGAAACCTTCCAGGCACCCTCCAACCTGCCAGTGGGCCGGGTTCTGGTGCATTAGGCTTTGGCTGCAGGGCCGGGCCGGGGCATCTTGCGAGAGATTAGCGAATCAGCGGGGCGTTCCTGGGGACGGCTGCAAGGGCACCCCAGATACGGGATCGCGTCTGTTTTATTGACTGATATTACCCTGTGAGGGCATCACCGCATCACCGTTGCCGAGGCGAAATCAACGCAAATAGATTCCGCGCCGTCGCGTCGAGGGGGCGCAAGTCGCTCTTATCGCGGCGCACACGATGCGATGAAGGATTTTCGAAACAACCACCACGCCGCCTTCCTCCTGGATTGGAGAAGTCCGAGCGACGGAACTTCTATCTTACCGAAGCGGCCAAGTCAAAAAGCAGCGACCAGGGGATTGTCCAGGGTGGGCCGCTCCGAGATCTGGAAGAATCGGTGACACCCCCAATGCAGGCATGCGGCGGCGCGCCATGCCAACACGGGCATGGCTAGCGTGCCTTTCATTTACCGACCCCTTCGTCGTCTGTTCTTGAAGAGCCCGCCGCCCGTTTCCTCGCCCACTGTCCCAATTCACTTCAGACATTCACCTCTCGTTGCTGTAGCCGTGGTCCGTTGCCATGTGAGACCTCCTCCCCTCCATTCCAAGCCGCTTTGTGTGTTCTATGTTGCCCCTGTGTATATTAACCCACTACCGAGACAGCGTAGATCAAGCCCTTCCCTCGTTTCACCACCTTCCGAGGAATCTACTACCGCAACGTACCAGTCCAAAATGAAGGCCTTCCTGATTCCTCTCGCCGTGATGGCCTCGTCCGTCATGGCTCAGACTACTGAGTGCGGCGCCGACTACATCGTCGAGGCCTGTCTCAGCTCGGAGACAGCGAAGCTCAACGGCTGCGGTGGCAAGGACTATGACTGCCTATGCGCCCAGTGGAAAAACATCCTGACGTACGGCGCCTCTATCCATTCTAACACAGATTCCGCTTGGCTAACGCATCCAACCTCGGCACAGCTGCTACAACAACTGCCCCAACGATCCCCAGCAGTGTAAGTCACTCCCGCCAACATATCATCACCCTTCATTGGCCTTACTGACTCCCTCCCAGTCCATGCCTCCGGTCAGCGCGACATCTTCTGCGGCTACGCGAGCCAGTTCCCTTCCAACCAGGTCACCCAGGCGGCCCAGCCGACCCAGACGGGAACCACAGCCGCGCAGAACACCCAAAACGCCGGCGCCGACCAGGGCGACTCGACCGAGGGAGACAGCACCTCTGCCACCACCTCCAGCAGCGGTCCTGCCGACACCAACAGCGCCGCCAGCCTCGCCCTTAACGCTGGCGGTGTCCTCGCTGCGGTTGCGGGTGTCTTCGCCGTTGTGCTTTAAGGGGGGCTTGTTTGCATGCGTGGGAGTCGGGCCGCCAATAAGCCTACCTGGGCTTGGTTCGTCCGCTGTCAGGAACCGCCAAAAGGTTCCTTGGGGCAACTCCACATCAGCAGCACCCGCAAGTGGGTTTTAACTAATATTTAATGTTGGGGTTAGCGTTAATAAATAATTGGATGCCTGTTGTGTATTATTTCTTTCGAGTTAGGTTGACAAGTTGTGGTTGTGACATGTAGATCCATCCATCCATACATGTACACCCAAAAGCAGCACCCAACCATTCCCAATATCTCCCCTACTTCACCCCATCCCAACCAACACCCCCCACAACCAAACAATCAAGCCAATTCATCCCCCTTCAACGGCATATAGTTACCAACTCACCACCTCCGCATCCCCAAACCTAATCCCCATCCCAGCAAACCCCCCAGCCCGCCGCGGTATCCGCCCCCCACCCGACACCGCCGCGGCCGTCACCCCGCGCACCGCAGCCCGCGCCGGATCCTGAGCGCTGCCCGGCTCCGGCAGCGGGCCCGCCCCAGTCCCACGTCCCTCAAATCCGCCCTCCCGCAGGTTCCTGCCGTGCGGGCCGGCCGGGTCCCGCCGCTGCTGTCCGGCGAGGTAGGATGGTGCGGCGCCGCCGTAGGATTGTTGGTTGGGGAGGCTGCTGCTGCCAGAGGAGTGGCCGCCGGTTTCAGAGGTTGTTTTGCCGGTGTTCGTGTGGATGCCGCGCGCGGTTTGCTGGTTTTCCAGGTTGAGGAGGGTGGTTTTGTCGGTGGTGCCGCCACCGCCGCTCCGGGAGGCGGACTGGGCCGCCTGTGGTTGCTGGGACCGTTTCTGGGGGGCCTGCTCGTGCTGGCCTGGGTTGGAAGCGAAGGCGCCGCCCTTGTGGACTGATTCGGCGGCGAGGGAGCCTGCGGGGACGGTGCCGGGTGCCTTGCGGGTGGTGGCGACGTGCTCGCACGTGGTCACCTGGGAATGGTGGTGTTAGTTGAAGAAGTTTGCTTGGGTGGAAGCAGAGGCCGGTTTAGTGTTTACCTTCTTGTAGGTCATGATTGCAAATTGGGATTTTGGACGATAATTCTGGTCTGTTTATAGATGGTTCAATGATGCGAGCGATATGCTTTATGTTTAACATGATTGGAGTACAGGTCACCTTTGAATAGGCGTCCGGCCTCAGTTCAATCACTCCATGACATCATATATCAGATGTCATGAGGACATCACGGAGTCATGTTTGCCACTGTTTATCAAATCCACGAGTATTTCGATTCTCCATGTTCTATGGACGTATATGAAGCACATTGGTTGTTGGACTTGGCAATTTTGGTGTTGGGGTTGCTCCGGATACATACTGCACCATGCGGTCTGCAAGATCTCCCATCTAAAGAGTTTTGCGTGTTAGGAACCGTTGAGGGTTAGGTGTTGTTGAGAATTAAGTCGTAAGTCAGTAGTCGTCGAAACTTGGAAGTTACAGCTCAGTATGTATATGGCATTCTTATGTGGGTAGGTAGCAATTCGGTCGAAACATGTTGGGATGACCTTTTTTAACTTGTTAAGCATAAAGCAAAGCTTCACCAAACGGCGGCAACAATAATTCCCATGACCTGTGACATAGGTCGCATGATAACATCAGAAGTTATATATAATCGCATTTACGGTCTGGTTGACGGCAAAAGTCACTAGTATAAGTCTCCCCACGTTCTTCTCTTGAACCGTCGAGCTAGCTCGTCTTGGAGCACCCCTCGTTTCCATGGCCGGCCAGCCCATAGCGGGAATGAACCTCCCCCAAGGCCATGCCAGTTAAAGACCCCGTCGGCCACCGGTGCTCATCAGCGTGATCTTCTGCTTCTTCTTCTTCTTTCCTCCCCCACCGCCAGGCGCAGCAGCAGCCGCCTTCGAGCTACTTTCACCTTTTGTTTCCACCCCGAGCGCCTCTAGCTGCATAGCGATGTCGGCATCCCCCAACGTCTCGAGCACAGCATCATCCTTCAACCACCCATCGTCCGCATTAGGTCGGGTGGGTAGGGTTTCCGGCTCGTCGCCTGCAACCAGAGGTGTCCCCCAAACCGTTCTACGGCCCGATGGACTGGTGCTCATCTCCGATAGGGAGGAGAATCCCGCTCTCGGGTTTGGCGGTGTCGTGCCTTCGGCCCCGAGCGGTATGAAGTCGTCCATATTGACGGGGGGTTCGTCCAGGCCAGTGTTCCCAAAGCGGACAGTCACCCCCTCGTCAATGGCGCCAAAGTTTCTCCGGGCATCGCGGATTGCGGCTGCCTCGATCTTTTCCGCTTGAAGACGCTCCCGTTCCTCCTGCGTTGCTTTCTCCCGGTTACGCTTGCGGCGGCGTTCTATTTCTTCGGAAAATGTGGATAGAATCTCGGGCGAGACGATATCTGCCCAGTCGCACTCCAAAAAGCTAATCAGACATCCCCGAGGCAAGTGGCCGAGGTATTTTGCCCGCTTTCGCAGGGCCTCGTCAACCACATGACCGGTTGAGATGTGCTCGACCCTGGGGAGCAGCGTGGACGGGAAGGCAGAGAACGACCCATACTTCGTCTTCAAGATTCGGATATCCAGAGGCGAGAGGTAGAGGTGCGGCAGTGACGAGTAAAAGTAAAAGTCTTGCTCGACTTGTTTCGACTGGTCCGGTCCAGAAATCCCGGCCAGCGCAGCCGCCTTTTCTGCCTCGCCCAACTCGGCCGTCTTCTCCTTCGCCGTCTTGATCGCCCTGATTGCCTTCTGTGTCCATTCGTTGTCCTCGTGGTAAAGGAGCTCATCTTCCTGCTCCTGCTTGACAAGCTCTTCCACCTCGTGATCGAATTGCTCCGCCATATAACCGCTGGTGCCCCTCATGATCCTGGCATAATCCAAAACGTTTGCCGCAAAATGCCACGGGATCTCGTCGCCAGACTGAAATACCTCAACTGCCCCCTCCTTTGGCAATGCCAGTGTATTTTTCGAGGTTCGCATCATCAGGCGGAGAATCACATCGTCGCCTTTACGCGGCAATGCGCATTCTTGGCCGGCGTACAACCTAACCGGTCGCACGTCTGAGAGGTATATCGAGTCTTCGCAAATGGGGCATTTCCTCCATCGCATCTGCTTTTTCCCGGGCTCCTCACTTGTATTGGTGTTCATGAAGCGCATCAGGCAGGGAAGGCAGAATATGTGCCCGCATTTTGCCATGCGTGGCGCAACCGGGTCCGAGAGACAAATGGGGCAAGATGATTGCTGGGATTTGGCCGAGGCAATGACTTGAAGAACATCATTCCAATCGATGTGCTCATCGGCGTCGGCAGCTTGAGCGGTATAGTTACCCCCGGGGTTGACCACAAAACGATAGTTCGCGTGGATATAGCGGGCCTTGTCGGCGGCGTGGTAACCGGAGCCGACGCCCCAGGAGGGATTGCGGCGATAGGAACGAGAGTATGAATGATGACCCTCGTGCGGACGCGGCGGCAATGCGTAACTCATGAGATGCGTGATGGATGTTTGGCCGCGCCTGCTCGAGGCGTTTCGCAGCGCGCGAATCTCAGCCATTGCGTCCTCGTCGTCAATATGTCTCGGGTCACCCTGTGTTCCTGCTCGCCTCTGGTTTCGGTGCTGGCCCCTTGCGCCCTGCCCTTTCCGGGGGACTGCTTGAGGGTGTGATGGGGCTTGTATCTGACGTCGATTGGAGTCAAAGCTGGGGTTTGAGGTAGGAGGAGCCGATGGGGAATGGTTCGCGGTCGTCGGGGCCGAGGGCGCCTTGTTTGGAGCAGATGACGTCGGATTCATGGTCGAAGAGTTTGTCCGGGTAAGTTGCAACAATCTCGGCCGAGTATCTTCGTAAGATACCCTACATATGCAGGTGTTGCCAGATGCTAGGAGGAGAGAGTGAGTTGCAATTCGTTGCCGATGACTGATCCCGCCCGGCCATAGGGGGAGGGGAGATGGGCTCAGGCCTACCAATGTGTCCAGGTTGAGCGGGCTGTGGGCTAGGTTGTCTGCTTCCTCGAAATGGGATTGCAGTTGTAGTTGAAAAGTCGGGTTGAGCAACTCCGCCGTCAATCGTTCATCGTCGACGGCAAAATGTAGGTTTCTGAGGGGCCCGGTCTGGACCCCACGGAGGTTCGGCGGAAGAAGAGGGAAGAGTCACCATTCCGCATCCGCGGGGCAGATGGCGAAGGTTGGGGCCGTCATTGGCGAAGTGGCTTCCCGGTCGGACCTGGACAAAATAGCCACGAATTTTGTCAGCTGACTTCAGGGGTCGTGAAACAGGCTCCATCCCGTATTTTTCGGTGAATTATTCCGCTAATCCAATCTCGACTCGAGGTACTCGGAGGCCCGTCGAGTATTTCATACAAACCGAGTTTCCGAGGCACACGCTATCTTGGCTGCAAGCCAGACGAGCTCGCAACATCGTAGCTAAACGGCGACTGTGTAAGGTAGCTATCGTTCGCAGCCTTGATGCTAAACACTATCACTCAGGCTAGGAGCATAGGCACAACAACTTCGTTTGTGTAGATCCCGAGCGGGATCGTTAGTGTACCGAGCTACAAAAAAAGAAAACCAAAAGGAGACATTAACAATAGACGAAACCCTCCAGACAGGAATCAAAATATGGTAAAAGGAATTGGATATCGCAGCAACCACTCGCACCTCCCCACACAACCAAATTCCATCTCATCCATATGGCCAAGTCGAGGCGAGACAATCAAATTATGGACGACGCCCTCCCGGTCATGACACGATAGCGATAAAGAAACACCTCCCTCGTCCAACTCCATTCGTGAGCTTCAGCATTCCGCAAGGAAACCCGCCTGAGCAGTATCTAAGTATGATGCAAGACGGATGCTCGGCAAAAAGGCGTAGAATAGCGAGTAGGTAAGAGGAGTGCATCGCCAGCTTAAGCGAACTTTTGCTTCAGCTTGGTGAAGAACCCACTAATTCTGTGCTTCTTCTTCTTCTCGGACGTAGCCTTGTCGGTAGAGGCAGCGGTAGCGGCGGTGCCATTAGTGCCGTTCGTGCCGTTAGCTGCGGGATGTACTTCGTCCGCTCCCTTGGCTGCCTCAGTGGGTGCGGCTTGCTCGGTTGAGGCGGGGTGCTCGACTGCGGTTTGAGGCTCCTCGGCAACCTTCGCGGGCTCGGATGCCTCGGTTCCCACAGGTGCAGCAGCAGCCGCAACCGGCTCGTCGGAACCAGTCGCCACGTCCGCGGGCGGGGCTACGTCAACAGCCTTGACGGTCTCAACCGGGTTCGGGGGCTCAACGCTCAAGGCAGTCACCGCCGGCGCGATATCCTCGGTGAGCTTGAGGCCCTCAGTAGGCTGTGTCTCCTCGGCGGGCTTTGGCGTCTCCACAGACTTGGCCTCATCAACGGCCTTGACCGCCACGGCGGGCTGGGGCGGCTCCACCGCTAGAGCTGTTGCCTCTTCGGCGGTCTTGGTTGGTGACTCGCCGATTGCCTCGGTCGGCTTCACCTTCTCAAGAATCTCGGCCTCGTACTCCTTCTTGTCCTGAACGGCGGAGGTATCAGCAGCAGCTTCGGGGCTCTCGCCCGCCTCCTTTAGAGATTCCTTGACCTCGGCCGGGACCTCCGGAGAGACATTATCGATGGCAGCCTTTTGCGATTCCTCGGCCTCAATCGGTTTCACCTTCGAAAGCATCTCGGCTTCGTACTCCTTCTTCTCCTCAACGGCAGAGGTATTCACAGCAGCCTCGGGGCTCTTGCCTGCCGCCCTCAAGGATTCCTTGACCTCGGCCGGCACCTCCGGAGAGATGCTATCGATAGCAGCATTTTGCTTCTCCTCGGCCTCGGCCTGGGCTGCCCCGGGAAGGACCCCTTTGACGGCAGTAGGTACGGTCGTTGCTGCGTCAGATGCAGCAGCAGTGGCCTTGGAGGCGATATCCGCAGCGGCATCGCCCGCCTTGTGCGCAAAGTCCGAAGCAACTTCACCGGCATGGGTTGCAGCACCGGCCGCGACGGGCAGTGCCACCCCGGCAGCAGTAATGGCAGCTCCAAGTGCCACCTCACCGGCCGAGGTAGCAGCGGCAATCGCGTTCTCGACGGCCGACTTGTCAGTCTCGGACTTCTCAGTGCCCTTCCCCGCCGTGCCCTCCGAGGTAGAGGGAGCTTCGGCCACCTTGTCCAAAAGTTCTTCCTCCACAGCGGCCTTCTCCTTCACTTCCTCGCTGATGGCGCTTGCCTCAGGCTCCACATGGGCCTCCTCTTGGCTTTTCTTCACAATCTCGGGCACTTTGGGCTCCAGGGGAACCTGCCCGGCCAAGGCGGCGGTGGTTGATTCACTAGTAACCGTGTTGATGGTGGCGATATCGCCGCCAGTGATAGGTAAACTTGACTCTGGAATCATGTTGCCGGTAATGGGTGGAAGTGTTGTTTCAATACCAGGAATGCGATCGCTCTTCTCGTATGATTCCTTGTCAAGCGTGACGTGGCTGTTGACTGCATCGGCCGTGAGGTCCTTGGGGACCTTCTCGCCAGCCTCAAGTTTTATGGGATTGACGGCGCCCTCGGCAGCAGGGAGGGGGTCAACCTTCAGTTGGTCACTGGATTCGGCTGCAGGCGTTTCGGGGTAACCACCCGGCGGAGTAACATTGTCCTTGCTTTCCTCGAGTGGTACTGCAGCAGCCAATTGAGCTGTGGTAGAATCGGGGGCCGCGGAGCTGAGGACGGCAGCGTCCGAACCGGCTGCCGGCGCTTCCTCCTTCTTGTCTTCCAGCTTTTCCTCCTTCTTGTCCTCTAGGGGCACCGCGCCGGCTAATTGGGCCGTGGTGGACTCGGGGACGAGGTTATTGATGGCCGCAGCCTGGGAAGCTTCTTCTAGCTTATCCATCTGTTCGGGCAACAAGACGTTGTTATCGTTCCCTTCGTGATCCTTTTCTTGGGGAGCAGTGTGATCTGTGGTCCAGCTGCCGTCGACAACAAACTGTAAAATAGTAGATACGTCAGCGATCGAGTAAGGAATTGGCGAAACAGATCGAAAGCACCAATGTCAATCAATGTTGGTATCAAGCTGGTGCAAAGCAAGCGCGGGGACCCCCCGCCATCTTAAAGGGCCCGGGCGCAAAAGAGGGGCGAGGTCAACAAGCTCGAAGCAAGGACCTGGCTCCCTGTTACGGTCCTTGGTCACGGGCCCAAATGACTGTTTTTTTTTGCGCCCAGGAGGTCCCACAGTTGCCGCTAGTGTGGTTTGTGATCGCCTGCCCGTCATTGTCCCTCTTGCTTGTCGCGGCTCCCTTCGGTGGTTGGAGGAGTACGAGGTTGCGTCATCGCAGTCCCAACTGATTGCCAGAGGCGGGTGGCTACGCAATACGGTGAAAACAACAATTGGAAACGTTGAAGCAGTTGCTGGAAGGGGCATTGCCAGCAACAACAGCTGCGCCGCACAAACAACCGTTCTGAGCCGGCTCAATGGCACTGGGCGCGGGCGCGGGATGATATTGGTGGGGTTGGCTTCGGAGGAGTGACTTGCTCCGTCCTCACCGAGCTCACCGCTGCTTCATCAACGACCCCTCCTCTAGCCGGGACTTATCTGAGCGCAGTCGGCACTTTGCGCGGGGGAGCGCCTTGCTGTGGTCTTCTCGAAAGATGCAATTGCCTACTGCTGTAGACACTTGGGCGCCAGAGCGCCGAGGAACGACGGCGCAATGGTTCAAACGGAAACAGAAAGAAGTGGCTTACGAACCTTGTAAAATATTTTGGCGTCAGATTCTGGCAGCGTCACTGTTTTCTGGAAGGACTGCCCGACCCGGTCGAGGCGCTCGCTTTTGGTCCAATTGTCGAAGGTGCCTGTCACATAAACCTCTTCGGCGTTGTGAGGCCTAAATACAATTTGAGGAGCAACAGTTAGCGACACACTTGTCACAGCAAAAAAGTGCGACTATCCGTGGTCTTGGTGTGTCGCGGCCGCGGAAAGCTTAGCACGGGCAAAAGCGAGTCAGAGCTTGCGCTCTCAGACCAGCCTCTGGGCGCGGGAAGAGGGAAGAGGGTGTGACTGACCACTTGAAAGTGTAACTGCGCATGGTTACGGAGATTGTACGACGTATTTTTTGATGTATTTTTCTTTTGGTGCTGGAGACGACGGCGTGATGTGTCGGGTGGTTCTCGGTTTGGTGGAGCCGAAGCAATCGCGATCCAGGCTTCGGACCAAAATTGAGCAGGGAAGAGCTCTCGTCCCAGGATAGCGAGTGGTGTGCTCGGGGGTCCAGGCCGGTTTGTCACGGTCCTCTGACGTCAACGAATGATCAATGAAACCTGCCTAATAGGAGAAATGGGATCGCACAATGTCAATGGAGGTGCGCAGGCAATTGGTTTTTGAAATCTGAGCTGCGAATTCAATTTGAGAGGGGCTCAAATTCAAGGCAAACTCGAGAGGTTGGTGTTCATCACCTGTGAGGGCGGTTTGAGGATGGCACGCTAAGGTGATTGCGCACGCCAAGAACGACTTGCAGCTGCCTGGTCCTTCGCCGATTCGCTCGGCCATGCCGGGGTTCTCGGCCGCTTGATCCCGATCTTGACGATAAGCCAGGACGTCGTCGTTGAGGCTCACTCAGCTTTCTCTTTTAGGCTTCTGCCCCCCAGTTTTGAAAATTTTTTAGGAGGTTGGTTTTAGCACTAGTTATCACACTCGCCTCTGGCGCCAGGACAAGACAACCGGGACAACAGGGAAGCCGCTTCAACCGAACCTACAACCCCACGCTGCATTTTCGTCAACCTGCCGTCGAATGGTACAACGTTGTCTGCGGTGTCAAGGTGAGTGACACAAAAGTGAAAAGGGGGGGCGAGGTCGCATGCGGAAGGTCCAGAGCGGGGAGAGCCGTGTTCATATTTGGACCACAGTCAGTTCAAGTTTAGGTAGTCGAGCTTTACCATGTCCGAATTTCATCCGTATAAAGGTAGCCAATTCTGATATTGCTCTACCTAGTGACCTAGGAATCCGTGACCAGTCGTGTTGGTGCGCAATAGCCCAGCGACGTGGCAAAGATAACTCAATCCCTGTTGTTCCGAGTCCCTTTTGATAGTGATCCCTGCCGAGAGAGTAGATGACAAACAGCCAAAACGCCAGTTCATCCCGGTATCGAGAATAGAAAATACCCAAGCAAACAAACAACAGTTCCTCGCAGATCCGTTGGCAGATAAACGAGGGCGTATGTAAGCTGAGGAAGCCTCCCACCAAGGGAGATACCGAGTCCGTCTATAGTAGTAAGTATACATCATTTACCAGCCAAACTGCTCACAGTGCAACTCCACGGCCGGGCCATCGGCAACAATCAACTTGGCGGTAGTATCCCGGACCACATGCATCAGCCCGTTCGGTCCACATGCCGCAACCAAAACCCGCTGGTTCCGCGGCGTAGTCTTGACGGCATCGCGAATGAGAGACGCAGCATCGGGACGCCCCGCCTTGATGGGGTACTCGAAGAAAGTGTGGGATACGGCTGTGGCCGTATCTTTCTCAACCGCACCGTTATGCTTGACCTGCGTCTCAACGGCTTCCGTCTGCTTCTCGAGAGCACTCTGTGAGAGGGGCGGCCAACCGCCGGCGGGCACTGCAGTTTGACGGACGTTCTTCTCAAGATCGGACCCAACGGGCGACAAAGGCGGCGAGTCAGCGCCATCGGAAGACGAGTCAGAGCGGCCAGGGTGCTCGCTGTTCTCGCTCTCGCTCGGGAGGTCGGAGGTCGACGTGGGAGCCCGTGTAACATAAAGGGAAACATTGACGTTGGGCGAGTGCGCATGCGTCCTTAGTAGCTCGAGCTGTTCTTTGAACCAGGAAAGATTCTCTGTTTTCCACCTTGTCAGCCCGGAAATAGTACTAGAAATAGTAAGCAAGGGACTGACCGTGTTTCTTAACCGACCACACAAACACAATGTTCTTAGGGGACCCCTCGTCCATCCTCTCGAGCACGTTGACGGCAAGGCCGAATGTGAAGGTGGCACCGCCGCCCCCGGCAATCAGCACGATCTTGTCAAACTCCATGGGGTTAGGAAACGTGCCATACGGCCCGTCAATCGATGCCCTCACTGTCACACCAGGGTTGGCCACAGCATGCTTGTAGAGGTCGCTAGTGAAGCCATTGCGAGCCTTGACTGTAAACTCGAGGGGCGAGCTTCCATGGATTGTAAACGGATGCGTCTCGAACTTGCGGATGGCAGGAATCCAAACAAAACAGTGCTTCCCGGGCTCTGCCCTCGCCGGGACTTTCTTCATGACAATCTTGGTGCTCCCGTCAGGCAAGGGGTGCAATGTTGCTCCATTGTTGGCGCTGTAGTACAGGATCCTAGAGGCCCTGATGACACGGTCGAGGAACCACATGGACGCCGCGATGAGGACGATAATGAGCGTTTTGTTTGCGATCTCGGGCCGATGAAAACCGACGGCGATTATGGCTATGATCCAGGAGAAGATGTGCGTGACGTAAAACAGCTCGTACCAGAAACGCCGGAGGACCAGAGCAGAGAACACAACGCTCAAAAAAGCGAACCCTGCCACGATGGCCGCGATCCCTGAACTCTCGGAGTAGATGTGTAACAGCCGCCCCGAGCTGTCGAAGAAGGCCGTGTATAGGGTGCCGTGGAGAAGCATCGCAATGAACATACTGCAGCCGGCGATCTGATGAAGGCAGTTGAGCCGTTCGTATGAATAGGCCGTTATGAACGCCAAGGGGGTGTTCTTGAGTGCCAAGAATACGACCAAGACGAGGTTCCCTAGTGTTACCCTGTGTGCAACCCCATGAGCAGTTATTCCAGAACGTTGTGGTGGGAGTACGGGAAGGAAGTCAACGTACCAGCCGAACCTGTGCCCCAAGCTTCCCATCGAGCTAGTGTCCACGTTGGTAAACACGATAGCCAGGTTAATAGCGACATAGGCCATAATGACCATGGCATGCCCGGCAGATTTGAAGCCAGGGACCTTTCGTACTAGCAGATTTCTCACGAGCCTAGGGGAGTTAGTTGATAGTTCTTCAAACTGGTGAAGCAAGGCAATCCTTACCTTGAACTCGCAACGAATGGACGACCGAATACTCCATAAGGCTTGTTTGAACGTTCCACCTTAACGCAGAACCAACGTGCCCAGTGGAAGAGGACGAAGACGGCGATCAGGCCACATATGCCCGCGGCCCAGTACTTCATAATCCGCTCTATCACCACTTGCCTCTGGGCAAAGAAGGCCTCTGTGGCCCTAGCCGCATTTCCATGCCCGTTTCCTCCATTAGCGGACTGTCCGGCCATCTCGGGGACGAAGTCGTAAGGGGAAGAAGGTGGCGGTGGGTCGGGGGTGGTAGGAGCTCGCAGGACGGTTCGACAACCCGAACTTGAGACAAGGTCCAGGAGAAGCCGGCTGCTTTATACGGAGCGTAGGTCTCCAGAAGGACAAGGTGGTGGTCTAGATCTCCCACGAGCTGACGGCACCTTTCTTGACAACCTGGTATATAACTCCCTTTCCCGAAACGCCATGTTGCGCGCCGGCATGTCCCCTTCCAGGGCCGTGCCACAGAACAGTCCAAGAGGGGTGGAAGTGGTGAGAGGGGTGTGGGATTACGGCGACTGGCTAGGTGAGAGCGCCAGAGCAAGGCACGTATGGCTCGCAAAATGAACTGTTGATTGCACCAGCGTCACATGGAGGGAAGCTCGGTGTCAGAGGCCATGGCTGCCACGGCACTTGAAACTCCACCGTAACCACGATGGCGATGGCATGGGTAGTTCCGGCCGGCGAAGCCAAGGCACGTCGGTGCCATATCAGAGGGCCGCTGATGAACCGCCGCGCCGTAGCCCACTAGGGCGGTAGTGCACTTGCGGCAGGCGACGCAGGGCTCCGGGGCTGCCATGCGCATATCGACGGGGGTCGGCGGTGGGTCGGTGTAAGTGACAACCACTTTGGGGCTTGTCGATGTCGACGACTTCCAGTCTGGGATTTGGTCAGCTTGACAAAGCACCAAACCCGATGCCTGGCAGGACAGACAAGGACGCTGGCGTGTAACCCAAGCGGATCCCCATGGCAGCAGCAGGCCGGGACTCTGGCAGGACAGTCGCATCTGCAATCTGGCTAAAGATGGGATAAAACAGGAACCGACAGAGAGCAGCATCTGACCGTTGGATGCGACGAAGTCCTCGAAAACCAGAGTTCGACGAGCCCACTCCGGGTGTCACCCTAATTTTACCCCACAAACGCAGGCAATATCTGCCAAATGGCGAGGAGCATCAACGCATCAGGTTCTCTAACACGCCCTGTCCAGCCTCCGGGCAGTGGGGTTCCGGCAATGTCCTGCCCAGTCTGCCACACTGCAGCGCGCTGCAGCTTGCAGCATCTGATAACGGCACGGCCTCCTGCCCACGTGAGGTAGATAGGCGAATACTCAACCGAGGTCGCTTAGACAAGAGCGGGAGGCGGGTGGCAGACGCGGGCTGGTGGCGTGAAACGTTGGACAATGATGACGACAAAAGGGAGTCAAGGCAGACATTCATGATAAGAACTTTCATGAAGGGCGTGTTCCAACTAAAACACCGACAGCCACCACCGACAGGTCAAACCAAGCATGCAGGCAATGGCAGTTGATGAACCATGGCGATCATGAATCGGCATAACGAGTTGGCGCGGCAGATGGGTTCTGAGAACGCTGGGGCGTGGGAGGGCGAGCCATCGTAGGGAGCTCTCTGGCTACGGTGGAGCAAGAGTTTAATCAACCAAGTATAGCCAGGCCGATATTTGCAGGGTTGTGACATGGCGTGTCTGTGCTTGTCCACCAAGGGCAAATGGGAATGCAGTCAGCAGCCAAGCTTCTTGACGACACCCCCTTTTGTGTCGAAACCCGGTCGAGGAACGTCACGAAGGGTAGTACCTCGAGACCAGGGACTTGGCATGAGATGAAGGTTGACCACCAACTGCAGAAGCGGGATCTTGCACAATGGCCTGGGCTGGCCTGGTGAACTTGGGCAAGGCAGTCATCATCGGCGTTGACCGATCGGGAAAGATGACGAATCCAACTCGTTGTAACCATGAAAACCCGCCGAGGTTTGTGCGAACAAACCCGAAGAGTAACAAAGAATTGGTAGAAGGCCAAAGAATAAAAAGGACTTAAAATAGGTAAAATCACAGAAAACAAAGAATCAGGGTTGCAGAAGGAACCTGGGGTCGGGACAGGCACATGCACCTGCCGTCAGTTTAAGCTCCGTTGCTAACATGGGGATGCCCCCGCAGCGCCATCCCTGATTAGGAACTGAAAGCTCGCAGTGGTAGGGCCGAAACCCTTCTGAGCTTGGTCAAGGAGCTGTGACCTGTTAGGGCGAAGACCACCGATCTCGTGCATTGAAGGACCTCTAGAAAATCTCCCGAATGCCCAGGACACAACAAATTACTTTGAGGGAAGTCCCAATCTGGCACAGTTTCCCCTCTGAGACTCCATTGGGCATAAGCTTTCTTTTGCCTCAGCGATCAATGCGAGGCGTCGCTGCATCGTTTCGGCACTTGTCAGCGGTGGGAATTGAACCTGGGTCGTCTAGGGTCTCGGGCCTGCGAGGCTGCATGGCCAAGGCCCGCCTAGATGTGCGTCACCCGCGCGGTGCAGAGGGGAAAGGATCTTGTACGCATCTCGTGAGATCTCCCCGAGGATGGACCGGAAGACGCTCCGGAACTTGTTCAGACCAGGAACGCAAACCCCGGGCGGGCCCCTCCCTTTCGGCGCACCCCGCCGAGCAGCGCCCGGGGAATGACCGAACCCCTTTCACATGAACCCCCACTAGATCGGGCCACTAGTTCTCCCTTCCCGTCGCCGTTGCAGCCTTAAGCCTGCAGTTTCGACTCGGACGCGAACCTGACAGGACCTGCCCGCACACTAAATCCTTCCTCGGAATGACGAAAACTGTGCCGGAAGAGGAAGCTGTCGTGAAACACAAGCCTGGGTAAGTTTATCTCCTTCACACCCAGACGTGGTTCGCGTATCCACCAAAGTGCTGCAGCTGCCCTGCTGAGCCATTCTTAATAACACCCAGTCCGAGATGGTGGGTCATTGCTTGCTCCATTCTCTCCCCCAACCTCGACCGTTGTGTCGCATCTCGCGGCACAAAGCACGGACCCTATCGCGCTTCTCGGTTGGCATCATTTCACGGAGGCGGCTGAGAACGCAATCAACCGCTCCGGGCTTTTGTCCAAACCGGGAGCAACTTGAATGGGACCGTGTAGCAATCTCGGGCTTACCGTCACCTCGTTGAGGGACAAGAAACCGATGTGAAAAAAAGCTGTGTGGACTTGATAAGGGGTCTGACGAGTACCACTCGGTCCCGAGGCCTTGAATCGCTTGGCTTACGGCTCCTTCCGCCGTTTTGCCTTTTTGGTTCGGCGATGGGAAGTGTCAGTCGATCAAGGACACCCAACGCCGCCTAACTTTAGGGCCGGGGCGAAGACCATGGCTCCCTGTAAGGGAAAGGGGCCAGGGAAATCGCGCGGGAGATCCATCTCACATGGTTACGCTGGGGATCTGGCCGCCCTGCGGGTGGGTGACATACCTCTGGAAGATCCCTGGAGTTGGTCCTTGGTAAGATCTGTGCCCTCCAGGAACTTTGGTGGCCAACGCCCGACCGTGTGCGTCCTCGCGACGAACCAGAAAAAAGAATGAGAAGCTACCGAAGGGCACTAGATTGTCCTTGCCTTGCCCTACACGTCATCCAGACAGAGCTTGCGAAAACATGGATGAGAAGATTAGAGTTACACGGACGGGCAAGTCTTGCAGCATGCGTCGGGCTTACTCACGACCAGGGGTTGTTTACACAATCACACTGACCCACAACAAACTCGCTCACCTGTCTGCACAGGACAGGAGATGGCATGGTCTACGGCGTTGGAAAACGAAGAGTGAAAGCCCTCTAAACCGTATGATGATTATTCGCTATGGGGAAACCCACGATTGCTGACCGACTATCAGACCGCCCGACCCTCCTGCCGCTACCCTTACGCGTCCTCTTCTCAAACTGGAAGCATGCGTGAGACCGGCTCACTAGTTTACCGCCGTCCTGAGGGAAACAACGCCGAGATAGACAGCCACGGCGTAAAAAAGAAAGAACTTGGACCAAGTGCCAAAGATGACCACACTCCCCAGCCCGTTGTACCCCCCGTTGATGAACGGCCCATAACCCTCCGACAGCCGCTTACTATGCAACATCCCCTCGGTCACAAGCCACACCAAGACCGTCATGGCAAACACCACATAGCTGGAGTTGAACCCAATCGTCAGTTGGAACCATCGGGCCGACGGCTGCGTGCTTTCGGCCAAATGCGGATCAGGTCCGCAGCTCCTGCCTGTGGTGGTGTGGGCCTTTCTGTTGTTGTCGAGCTCGTTGTTGCTCTTGTTGTCAAGCTCGCTCGTGCTCTTGTTGTCGGACTTGATCTTACTCGGGCCGTCGAGCTCATTCGCGCCCTCCCTACTGAGCTCGACCTTGTCCCTGTTCTCGGGCTCCTGCGTGCTCTTACTGTCCTCGGCCTTATCCTTGTTGTGGAGCTGGCCCTTCACAGTCTGCAGCTCCTTCTCCAGTTTGCCGAGCTTTTCTTGTGTGGCCTTCTTCTCGGCCTGGAACTGCGCGATATCCGCGCAGGCCGTGTGGAGCTGCGCTTGGCTGGACCTGAGCTGCTTCTCGACCTCGTCCTGGCAAGCCTCGATCTCGCTGATCTTGCGGAATAGGTTGGCCGTCCTCTTGTCTAATGCCGTGAGCAACTGCTCCTTGTCAGAGTCGACCCGCCCTTCGACCTCCCCCAGTCGACTCGTGAGGGCTTCGATTAGGTAATACAGTCTGTTAGACTCGTCCTTGAGGTCTTCGATTTCGGTGTTGTAAGCCGTCGGCGGGATGGAAGGCGACATGCCGCTTTCCAAGTCATGATTACTACCGCCCGCGTACGAGACGGTATCAAGTGCCATCGACAGCTCGACTTTTGCTAGGGCCCCTGGGGAGTGGATAAACGTTGGCTCGCTAACTTCCTCGGGCGCACGTGGCCGATCCAAGTCTCGATGAAACTTGCGGATGACATCCTCCTCCGTATCGGTGAGGGGCCGTCCGTACAACTCCGCGCACCGCCGGATCTGGTCTCGGATGGTGAGGTCCGTTATGGTCTCGTTTGGCCTCTGACAGGGCCCCTTGAAGAATGGAGCGAATCTATCGTCTCTTGCGTTACTCTTGTGGACGAAGATGGGGTCCGGATGGCTGTGAAAGTCTTTGAGAGACGCGCTTGGAGAGGATGGAGGCTCTGACCCCTCTTCTTTTTTAGCAGGCACATCTCCCTCGCTGATATCAAGGTTACCCTTTTGGGCCAAAGTTGAGCTGGGACTGTCTGAGAAAGGGGCGGGGGCCGTGGACGTTTGGTCGGTGTCTTCTGGGCGATCGGCCAAGGCATCAAGTGGGCTTGCGTGAGGATGAGTCTGAGGGTGACTCTCAGGTCGCTCCGAGTCTTTCTGTTCTTCAACTAGCTTGTCTGATGTTGCTTGGGATGGTGCCTGGGCTGGACTAGCTCGTCCGTCGTCGGGCACCTGCTCATAGGCAGAGATGCTGCCCATATCGTCGGCTCCCGTATCATATATGGCGCCTAATGAGTTGTTGGACGAATGGCTGTCGTCGGCGTCGTTCACCCGCAACAGTTCTTGGTCCAAAGTAGACGGGACGTATAATGGGGGTGGGATCGGTTCGCCATTGCCCTCATGTGTCTGTTGATTTTGTGATCCCATGTCTGCGCTCGTATTACCAACACCTCCTCCCGACAACCCGGGCGCCATCTTCAACACCCCGAATGACAATTTCACTCGAAGGGGGTTGGGAGGAATATGGTGGGGGTTGTTCCCTATACACGGATCCCCCGATAGAAGGAGGGGTTTCTCGACCCGAGTGCTCTGCGCTTTGGACCGCGTCAAATAAACGGTTGAAAGCACTGGCCTGGGCTTCAGTCTCGGAACCAGAGTCCTCGTCGATTTGAGTCTCGGAGACAGAGTCCTCGTTGGCTTTAAGGCCCTGATCCTCTTCATATGGCTGGTCGACTCCAACCTGGTTCTGACTTTCTTCCTGGTGCTGCTCCATTTCATCTGGCTGCTGGTCTGAGTTAAGGATTTGGCCCTCTTCACTGGAGGAAGAGCCCTCCGTTGTGGATCGGCTTCCAAGGCTTTCCTCGAAGCCACCACTGGAAGAGACAGTAGATACTGAGGACGAGGGAGAGACAGAACTCAGTTGCTGGCTGTCGGTAGCATCAGCATTCTGACTTCCGAGGATTCGCTGACTAGCACGTGCCGCGAAATTTAGCATAGTTATTGGCGGTAACGGCTTGGGCTTATGTTTTGTGGTATTTAGAGGCTGGTATAAATGAAATCGGATGTACAATATATTATCAGCGAAATCAGGTAGCGCTGCTGCAGTGGGCTGTGATACATCCCACACGTACGCTGCCATCATCGCGCCCCATATATGCACATCGTCCACAAAGCGGTTGGCTAGGAGCCCGTCCTTTGTTGAAGCCTAACTCGCTCGATAATGGCATTATCGCCGAGAATACCTAAAATAGTCTGGGTGCTAATTAAAGATCCCGACGGAGACAAAGAGCTAGGAGGTCATGATCAATGGAAGACCCTCGAAAAGCATGATGTACCACTGATCTAAAAGCTCATCTCAAACTATGTTATGTTTCTCCCAAGGAAGCTAAATAGCAGGCTTAATGAGCCATCGGTCGGGTTTGGGGACATTGAGAAGGCTCTGGGCCACCGACGTCACTCATATTTAGCTCATTTGCCGTACTGTTATCGAGAACCATGGAAGCACTAGAAATACGAGGCGCAGATGGCCCTCCGAGATGGATTTATATCATGATGGTTTACCAAACTACTGAAACAAAAGACAGATGAAGACAAGCTACTTAGTCATACCCCTAACCTGACACCACATCAACTCCAAATACGCCGCCCATCGGTGAAACAGTCGCAAAAGACGGCCCTCAAGTCCCCACCTAACACCTCAAAAGGACTCCCAACGCCCCAGTTTAATCCCAAACAATGAAGCCTCCCACTGCCACGTTTCGTCATCCAACATCAACTCCATAAAGCATCTCCATCTACCATTTGGTTCGTCTCCGGGCCAGAGCCAGCCCTCATCCTTCTCTTCCTCCCATGATCGATAGGCGGCGAGGCCATCCACATGGTCGAATCCATACCCGGGCTCTCCTGAGGTGCCATGTACGGGACTTCCTGGGTGGGCGAGAGCTCGTAGGGGGCTCTCTGGTGGACCGGGTTATTCCGCGGTGACATAAGCGGCGAGATGAGCGGCGGCGCTCGGGGGGAAGGGTGCGCCGGGAGTCCCGGTGTCATCCCCCCTCTCGGCGTGTACCCCGGGCTGAACCTGGGTGATGCGGAAGGGGATGTGTACGGGAGTGAGATGACCCGTTTGTTGATGCGAGAGCTTCGGTTGCGCCGATGCCGTCGGAGTCGTAGGGGAAGGGTGTGCGGCCTGTCTGGGGAGGCGGCCATGGGCGATGTTGAGGCCCAAGCGCCGCCGAATGCCCTACCGGGGGGGCAGATGGCGATGATAAGAACCGCGACGAGGACGATGGTGTCGTCGAGGAGAAACGTGGTGACCTGTGAGGTGGCAAATGCGCTATCTAGGCCGTCGGCGAAAATGGCGATTCGTACAGCCGTTCGGAGGAGGAGCAGGGCCGCGACTACCTGAATGCCTATCATGTCAGTGTTAGCGGGCGTTCGTGGTTCCATAGAGCTGGATCTAAACACACAGATCATGAAGTACGTGAACCAGCGGGACAGGTACACGTGCGAATATCTGTCATCGAGGATATAACGGCGATGGGAAAGCTTGTACCGAAAATACCGGTATGTACCCAAGAAGGCAAGGAGATTGAGCGCTTGGATGGCGAGGCCGGTAAGCAGGATACTAACGCCTTGGGAAACCTGTTCAGGGGTCGTCAGCAAACAGCCCGTCTCTCCGGATGTTGGGGACTTCGAACCTCGGCAGACGTGTGAGCCGTGGAGGCAAACCCTATCCCCACGGACTGGAAGGCCAGGGCGAAAATGTCAAGAATGAAGAAGAGCATATTCAGGTAGACGGGGTCCGATACGAGGCGGAACTCCTCGCCATAAATGACCATAGCATGTGGAAGGACCAGGTTTGCAGCAGATCCGATCAGGATGGCGCCCCAGTGTGTCCCCAAGAGATAGAGGGTTGAATAGGCGTGGCTGTTCGGATTGGCGGCCAGGAAGATCTTGCCGACATGACCAACAACTTCGAAAACGAGTGCTGTCAGGAGTAGTGAGGTATGTGCGAGCGTTCTGTACCTAAATCCTGCGTATATAACGGGCGGGATCAGGGCGGCAAAGGCAGCAAGCATAAAGGCGTTGCCCGCTGGCGTCGCCCCGTACTGCAGAGAGCCCGGGGGGATACCACAAGGCTCGCGAGAACATTCCCCAACAGCTAACATGGTGTCTGGAGGAACAGAGACGCCCTTGCCCTCAACGATGGTAATGAGGTAAACTCGACATCAGTCGACGTGGGTGAGGAACCGGAACCACAGGGGGGGACAGGGCGAAGATATCATCGGGATGGCCATACAGCGAAGACTAGAACAGGGAAGTACAAATAAGCTCTTTATCTTTGCAACGCGGGACGTGTTTGTGAAGTGGCGGCCCCGACAGTTTGGCACCCAGGTCGCAGGGCGCTTAACATGCAGGACCAGGTGCGGGAGCGGACAGGGGGCCTAGAGGAGAAGGACGAGAACGACAGCGCCGTGGCCTCGGCCCGGTCTCAGAGAAAGCCGGCCGGGCGCAGCCCAGCGGGCTCAACCCGACAAACTTCGGTGGAAAGAACATATTCACTCATCCCCTTGGATGTAATTACCTCTTCCACAACAGCATCACGACGTCGCGATCTTGGAGGCCGGTGCCCCACGCCCAGCAGTCCCGATGATGCTGGTATCCGATGGGCGCAGATACAATGCGCCGAACCCCCATGCAGCCGGGTCAGCCATCAAACCATCAACAAGCTTCGCCGGGTCCGTCCTTGACAAGGTAGGATTTAAGCAGCCAGCCTTGTTGTTGGTGGCCGGCTGGGCAATCGGGAGTCAACCGATCCTGTGTTTTCACACATCAATGCGGTTTCTGATAGCCAAGGGAGGCAGACTGCGGCGTACCACAACCGCGCCCAATTGGTCGTTTGATATGCAGGTGAGGGTGTTGTTGGTTGTTGGTTCTCGACCGCCACCACGCATCCACCTTCAAAGACCAATCGGGAACGTGCTACCAGCTGAGGATGATTAAGGCCTGGCGAAGCCGACCAACACCGGCAAAACAACCCTGTTGGGGGCTGCATCGCGCACAGTATGGCTAAGATGGCAAGCAGGGCTCGTGGGGACTCGTGCAGTCTTTTCGGCCACTGTCGCTGCCGTAGTGTTGCGCGTCGATATCGCTGCGTGCAGCCGACTGATTCATTCACGCTCGGTTCGAGCCAACGGCAACCCAGCCAGGAAGGTCGAAAACAACATGATGGCGGGGCATCGCGAGTCGAGAGGAGGTTGAAGCGATGATGTTGTTCTTTCGGCTCCAATCAATTGCATGAGGATGAAAGAAGGCAGCTGAGGATTGCCATGCCAAGGTCGATCAATACAGTAAGGATAATAAATAGACACATTTCATATACACTGTGCTAGCGAGATCGCCATCGCTGCGACCAGAACTGGGCAGTGCTAAGCCAATCGTCACCAACACGCATCTGCAGGCCGGACGAGCCGATTGCCTTGCATCGCAAACTGGAAGCCCCATCATGAGCCGGGTATCTCGAATCAAGGAAGGCGGAAGCTCCACAAAGAAAATATCACGAAAACAGAAAAGAAGATCTATTATGTGCATCACTCATGTCTCGTAATCTTTGAAACGTCCAGCAGCTCGTTTCTTGTCTTGCATTTCTTTTTTGGTTTTTTTTGGGAAGTGTTCAGTTGACAGCAGACAACAACAGATGCGGAGGTTGCCAGTGGCTCATCGGCCTGCGTCATGGCTCGATCCCTTCGCGTCAGTTCGCCGTTATGCAGGAGATCAGACGACGATTTGTCGGTCTGCAGGTCCAAGACGGCACTTGGGCGCCTATGCACCGCTTTGCCGCCACTTTGCACCAACAGACGCGCGGATCAAGGGTCTGGGCAAAGAGATAGCCGATGAGTACGCCCTGCTCAGGGACAGTTACAGTATGTTTTTCTCAGGGAATCCTGATGCGCACTGGTGTCAGTCAAAACGAGTCTGACACGTTGCGCCACAGAAGCCCCCAAACACCCGATCGTGCTTGCTCATGGTCTGCTAGGATTCGCCGAGTTGAAGCTAGCCGGCTCCTACCTACCCAGCATCCACTACTGGCGCGGAATTAGAGAGGCTTTGAGTGCCAACCATGCCGAAGTCATCACTGCCTCGGTGCCCCCAAGCGGCTCCATTGAGAAGCGGGCCGCCAAGTTGGCTGAAGACATCGAAGCCCAAGCCCGCGGCAAGAGCGTCAACATTGTGGCGCACAGCATGGGGGGCTTAGACGCCCGGTACATGATCTCTCGTCTCCAGCCCACCGGCGTCAAGGTCAAGTCTCTTATCACCGTTGCTACACCACACCATGGCAGTCCCTTCGCCGATTACCTCATCGACGGGATCGGGCCGAATTATCTGCCCCGTCTGTACCAGCTGTGGGAGCGGACCACTGGGTGGGAGCCGAACGCCTTTGCCCAACTAACGACGAAGTATATGGCTGAAGAGTTCAACCCCAAGACCCCGGACGACCCAACGGTGCGCTACTTTTCGTACGGTGCCACCGTCAAGCACAAGCCCCCGTTGTTGAGCCCGTTTCGGCATTCTCACCGTGTGATTGAGGAGCGTGAGGGTCCAAATGACGGCCTCGTCAGCGTCGAGAGCAGCAAATGGGGTACCTACAAGGGGACCTTATTAGGTGTAAACCATCTAGACCTGATCAACTGGAGCAATAGACTTCGGTTTACGGTACAAAAGTGGATGGGCCACCCACCATCGTAAGTTTTTTTTCACCGTATCCGCCGAGGGTTCCCTTCTGATGCGCCTTTTCTCTCTTAGATTTAACGCAGTGGCCTTCTATCTCGACATCGGTGACATGTTGGCTGAGGAAGGGTTGTAGACCAAGGCAAGACTCACGTTGAAGAGGCCCTTACATCTACACAGCTACTGCTTTCGCCGGCCTTTTCAGGTCGTCCGACATCGGCTAGGTTCATAGCGATGTTTGGACCTTCTGGTCCCACGTTGAGGCCTTTCGGGGTAGCTGCACGAGAATATGGCCGGGACCCGAATGCTGAGCCGACCGGCGGTGTGTACGGCAGGTAGGACACGTACCACGAGAATTGCCATATTCAGCACGCCGCCTCTGTTTTCAAGCAGCTTCAACAAATTCAGCTCAAGGGCCGAAACATATTGGCAATTTCTCTCTCATTGGGGCTGGCAGAGCGCAGAAGGACGCTAGAAACCGGAGTTGTATGTTACCCTTCTGTGCCGTGCTTGCTTTCTCGCTCCGCTAACAAACAAACGGTAGTCGCTAGCACAAAATGACGGTGTATGCTGTATGGCGAATCTCAAGCGGCCTCACCGCTATCAACGCTCTCTGGCCTGCGGCGCTCGCACTGCCTTGGAAACACAAGCACGTGGTGGTTTGGGACACCGAGTGCAAACTCCAAGCCGCCGTTTCACAGCATACAGCTGGCGCCTGCGGAGAATTGTCACCGTCACCCCTTACCAAAACGGCATACATAAGTAATCAACGATTTGATCGGGCCCAAACATGCTCCGAACTCGCAATCACCAGGCACACAAGATGCAAGCAGGATGGTCCCTAGCTGTGGGGGCGGGTTGCTCGAGACGCGATGGGCAAAGTAGAAGCTCGCGGTCTGTTGCCAACTACAATTTGCAAGTAGAGTGGCTGGGCCCTGCAGCTATCTGCAGAGAATACATCCAAGCTGAGACTCTCCCATTTTTCTCGGGTCTCACATCCATGCATCACGACATCGAACCACGGGCGGTAATCCGCCAGGCACACCACTGCCCGTGGTTTGTTGTCGGCCTCCTGCCCGTCCAGGCCCCGGCGGCTTAACAATGCGACGGGTATTACACGATTTTAGCAGTAAAAGCCGGTCAAAAAGGCCTGGACCTCGGAGAAGGCTGAATGAGAGTCAACAAAACTAAAGTCGAAGTGCGCGCCCGGGAAGCACGCGAGCTGGACAAGACGCTTGGCACCAAAGCTTGTGTTGCAGTAAGTAGTGCCGATCATGGCACTTCTCTTCAATGTCTGCCCGAGGAGCGGCTTAAATAGCAGGCGGTGTGGCGCTCGTGTGGTTAACGTAACACTGTCTCGGCCCAGTGACCTGGCTTCAATGTTGCGTTGGCAGGCCCAACAGCGGATGGATGGTGATGGGAGGAACATCGAGAAGGATGTTGGAGGGTCTTGTGTATGAAGGTCCGTGCGGATCGTCACGGGCCCTCCCCGCTAAGGAATAGTGTACCTTCCCCAAAGTGATCATCGCGATCCCTGCTCTCACCCCACACCAAAGCCCAACACCGCGGCCGCCTGGTTGGCCGACTTCGCCGCACCTGCCGCATCCTTTCTGGTGCCTTTTTCCCAGAGACCTCCCTCTGGCCAGTCCATTTCATTCCCCTCATGATCTTGTGATCCCGGGGAGGTTATGAGGGAAAGAGGTCATCGGCAAACTAGGGCGGTAGCAATGGCTTCGCTTTAACTTCCATGTTAAAACAAACCACAATAAGGTACTTCAATAGTACATACCTACCTCCAATGTCTCGGATTCCGCGGCCTCTTTTTCGCTTTTTCGAACCGACAACTGACCGACGGGCTTCCCAGCCACCTACGTAGCAGCGACCGTGACCACGCTCACCGGGAGGGTATCTCAACCGGCAAGCACTGCAGGCGGGGCTCCTTTCGGCAGCCGCAGGGCCCGCATTTCGGGGTCACCTCCGGGTCCTTCCGTGCCCGTTCCCCGCTCTCCGTGGCTTCACCCCGGCAAGTCCCGAATCTCTAAGACTTCAGATGGCCTTAATTAGTAGTAAATGTCCGTTAGCAGTGTGGGGGTTCTCTCCCGGGTCTGTCGGCCTTAAACGCTGTTTTGTTTGGTTTTGGAACCATTGCTATGATCTCATGACGTGGAGCAGGTGATTCGGGGGGCGGCTGGAATGCTCCTGAGTGTACCCAAACCCTTCCAGTGGCTCCATTCCTTGTGGTATGCGCGTGGTCATGTCACGGCATGCCCCATCTTAGCGTACCTACGATCTTGGCATGGGACACTAGCTTCGTCCCTTGTCCCACCTCGCGCACGCCGGCCTGGGGCCCATGAGCAGATCCCGCGCCGACCGAAGACACCACTTGGGTGGTTTTTACAGAGAGACTGCGTGGTATACTCAGCACCTCTCTCGGCCGAAATGCTACTATCATCGCCGGAGAACCGTGTCCTGCTGCCGCCCAACATCACCTTCTCTTTTTGGATACACCTTCCCCTAACTCTCGGGATGTAGGTGTTGGATGCACAATACTTCGAGCCCCGGGAGTGCCCATCACCGTTAATTGTTGCTCCTTCTGTTGTGCCACTGGTGGTGAGCCCCATCACATCTTTCAGCGCCTTCCTGCCCGCCTTGTGCCACTTCTCCCATGTTGCTGGCCGTTTACAAAAGCCCCCCGGCTTCCCGACCCGGCCCTTGCCACTTACAACTCCCGGGTCTCCATCAGCCCGGTCCCTTGCGTATCTAGGCCGCCTCCGAGGCCGTTTTTCGGTGTCCCCTACGAACTGCATTCTTCTTTCTAAATCATTAGCAGCTGTGGAAACGTTTTGCTCCCGGCTCTTCCTCCTCCTTCCTTCCCCCAGAACCATTCCCCACGTTGCATTCTTTTCGTGCCAAACCATGCGGTCCTTAACAATGCTAGCTGCGCTAGCAGCTATGGTTGTCAATCTTGCTACTGCTGCATCTTCCTTCTCCCCAGCAAAACCACCAGCAGTTCCCCTGGCTGTGAGATCACCCTATCTAAACGCATGGCTCCAGGGGGGCTCCGGGGCGATCCTCCCCGGCGCTTGGCCCCGCCATTGGACGTAAGTGGCCTTCATCCTCTTAACTTTCCAACTCACTGTGACTTACTGTATGCATAGCGGAAATATTCTGGGCTGGCAAGGCCTTGTGGCTGTGGACGGGGTGACATACAACTGGATGGGCGGCGCACCCGGTCCAGCACACGTCAACCAGGTGTCGCTCGAGTACACCTCGACCAAAAGCATCTTCACGTTTGACGTGGACGGGAAGGTTACCTTGACCGTCACCTTCTTGTCGCCGGTTTACCCCGATGATATGGCGCGGCAATCACAGCAGTTTTCCTACATTTCCATCAGGGCAAAGTCCTCCGATGGAGCATCCCACAAAGTTCAAGTTTACATGGATGTCTCTGGAGGTGCCGTTTCCCACACTTGTAGACATATCATGTGTTTATTTTGCTAACGTCACGCTTAGAATGGGCTAGCGGAGATACTTCTCAAGTTGTCGAGTGGGATACCGCCACCGTTGGCGATATTACTTACCACAAGTTCTTCCGCCAAACCCAAGAGGAGTTTAGGGAATCGAATGAGATTTCCAGCTGGGGGAACTGGTACCTAGCCACGCGCGTCGATGATGGTGTAAGTTATTTCTTCTATAGATACTTCACATGGGGAACGTGAGGAAGGGAAGCTAACAGGCCTGAACTAGTCCACTTGGCAAATCGGTCAAGATAGCGCGGTGCGAGGCCAGTTTGCGGACCATGGACTGCTTGCCAACACCAAGGAGTCCAACTTTCGGCCAGTGAGCGAGCAATGGTAAGTTCCTTACACGAATGAAACGTTTGGAGACGGCGGGTTGACCAGTCCAGGCCGGTATTTGCACTATCCCACGACTTGGGTAACGTCCAAGGAGACGATGTGGAGAGAGTCTTCACCCTTGGTCTGGTCCAGGACCAGGTCATCAATTTTGCCGGGCAGAGCGGCCAGTTGGAGGCCGTGCCGGGGCTCTGGTCATCGTACTACCAGGACGACATCTCGGCGCTTGTCGCTTTCTACGACGACTATCAACACGCCAACGAAGTATCCTCTGCTTTGGACCAACGGATACGGAGCGACTCCGAGGGTGCTGCAGGAAAGGATTACGCTCTTATCACCACACTTGCGGTCCGCCAGACCTTTGGCGCGCTACAATACGCCGGCACCTCCTCGAAGCCATACATCTTCCTCAAGGAGATCAGTTCGAACAGCGACATCCAGACCGTCGACGTCATCTTCCCTGCTTACCCGATTTTCATGTATCTGAACGCAACACTTGGTAGATACTTGCTCGATCCTCTATTTGAGAACCAGGAGAGCGGGGCATACCCGAACGACTATGCTGAGCATGACCTCGGAACCTTCCCGGTAGCTAGGGGCTATCCGGCCGGAAACGATGAAGCAATGCCGCTGGAGGAGTGTGGCAACATGATTATCATGACTTTGGCATACGCTCAGCGCACCGGCGATACGGCCTACCTCTCAGCCCACTACCCCATCCTGTCTCAGTGGGCGAAATTTCTGGTGGAAGAGTCTCTGATTCCCGCAAACCAACTCAGCACTGATGACTTTGCGGGAACTCTGGCGTAGGTCATCTGTTTACAAAGTTTAACATCCTGCTAATCAACGCGTGTAGCAACCAAACGAATTTGGCCATCAAGGGCATCATCGGGCTCAAGGCAATGTCTCAGATTGCTCAGCTGACCAACAACGATGACGCCTTTGGAGAGGTGGCTGACAGGTATTTGGAGGGCTGGAAAGGGTTCGGCATCAATTCCCAAGCCAACCCCCCTCACACGACGTTGAGTTACGGAAACGCTAACAGTCACGGTATGTAAACACGATGTACCCCTTCCCCAGTGATTGAAAAACCGAGTACTGAGCCCCATCCTAGGCCTCCTCTACAACATCTACGCCGACAAACTGCTCAAACTCGACTTCATCGACCAGTCCATCTTCGACATGCAAAGCAACTTTTATCCCACGGTCGCCAACGAGTATGGCGTGCCCCTCGACACGCGGCACACCTGGACTAAGTCAGACTGGGAGATGTTTGCGGCCGCCGTGGCCAGCCAATCGACGCGGGACATGTTCATTTCCAAGCTGGCCCACTGGGTCGGGACAACGACGTCGGATCGGGCCATGACCGACTTGTACGATTCCGAGACGGGAGGTTTCCCGGCGAACGGGCCATATTTTGTCGCGAGGCCGGTGCAGGGGGGGCTGTTTGCGCTGCTCGCGTTGTCGCGTGACTAGAGGGGGATATGCCACACCCCGCCTACCGCATTGAACTGCTAGCGATGGATTGGGTGTCGAGAGTTGAGAGTTTGCATTGTTTTGGAGTTTCGAACGCCGAAGGTTGAACCCATATCAGGTTCACGGTTGCCAGTTCTCTTACAGTTAGTTCTCTTATTTAGTTAGGCAATTACTGCGATAGAGTACCCGTGACCATGGCTGGCATGCGATTATTGATGCATCTTGAAGATGGTTCGTATCCATACCGTGGTTGAGTTCTCGCTCAAGCCGTGACGCGGCTCGAGCAGAGTAACCACGGTAACATATTGACTCGCAAGATACCAAGCCGAGTGGTTTGATGATTTGTGGTTTGATGATTAAAGGAGGAGAGCGGGAAGTGCCGGTTATGGCACAAGGTTCCTTGCTGGCGCAAGGATCATTAAGCGATCTGAGCGGCTCAAATCTCAGTAAGTTGCGTAGTAACGAAGCCACAGGGTGCAGGGATCTCACCAGCAACCGCATGAATCTGCAACTCCCAGCATACCAACCCGAGATGATGTTAACAACAGACCGGTATTCTAACAGAGTAAACATCAATACCTCTGCATATAATCAAATAAGCTAGGGTTGTTTTTCTTTCACGATTTACGGCTTTAGATTATTCTGAATAGCATCACAATTTCGAACGCTATCCACTGAGCTTGCTTCAGGTACCGTCCTAAGGTATGTACCGAGCTTGGTCATTCTTTGTTAGTGGACAACCAGAAGCTCCACTCCCCACTTGTAACCGCAGCACAACCACTGGCCATCCCACGTTCACGCCTTGCGACCGCACTCTTCTTGCCCCTCACCTCGCAAGACGTCGTCGACACCCGGAACAACTACACGACAACCAGGCTGACACATCTGGGCGATTTTGAGTTTGGCAAACCCCCCACAGTGGAATCTTTTCGCAACTGAGTACCGGGCTTTGATTGACGGGCAAATCGATCAGTCAATCGAGTACAGCTTCTTGAAGCGTTACAACCATGAATCCTCATCAGGCTAAGAAGGTTGACGTGAAGGTGAGCCACCCATTTTGTGTTTCAGCGTTATAGACATGGCGTAGACAATCTAGAAGTTGGCATATGTCATCAGCTGCGTCAGGCTACCTCGCATCTCGCTAGACCTATCACTAACACAATTCAACCCCGCAGTCCCTCTCCCCCGAGGAGCAGCGACTTTTTCGGCTCTATGGCAAACTCCCCAACCGCAGCGATCACTTCGCCAAGCATCTCAAGGAGCGCAAGTACTTCGACAGCGGCGACTATGCCATGAGCAAGGCCGGAAAGGGCGACAGCGTCGACACGGGTGCCGTCGGCAGCCAGCACCCGGTCCCCGAGAACATCCCCCATCTCTCGAGCCCCGTTAGCGGACCTAACGGCATCGGCAGCCCTTTACACCCTCATCACCACCACCAACACCACCCGGGCCTGCAAGCCGGTAGCCCCGTCAAGGAGAGCAGCTTTCTGAACCGCGAGACGAACGCCGAGGACATTGAGGCGGCCAACAACCCTTCTGGCGAGCAGCAGAAGGAGCAGCAGCAGGAACAACAATCTCCTGCTGCACCCGAAGAAACGGCCCAAGTGGCTGCTGGCGAGCAACAGGAACTCCCAGTCCGCCGGTGAGCGATGCGAGCTCGGGAATATGGGACATGACATGGGTCGTTGCGTTTGGGACGTTTTGCGCTTGGAGGACCCGACTGTGCTTACATCTTCCTTGATGCATATCTTGAGGAATGGTATCAAGTTGCGCAGTCTAGTCAAAAACCACGAGATTACGAAAACGATTGTGGCGTTGGGTTAGGTTGGGTTAGGTTGGGTTGGGCTGGCTTGATTCACTTTGATGATGATGACGAAGAAGGGTCGCGCGGATGATGGGGATCCGGCGGAGACTGTCTTGCTTTCTGTACTTATTCCGTTACTGACGCGGGTTCACGAAGCATTCCGGCATCATTTCTTATTTCCAACAACTCGGCTTCGACCGTTTCCTCCCGACCGCCGAACCTCTCGGGGTAGCTAATGGAGCCGAGATTAACGACTTGAGTGTGAGATAGCGCTCGATGGGTTCTGGGTCACTTGGGCACAGGGAAAGCAACGCGAACATGGAAGTGCCGGCCTCAGATTGGGTTTTATTGTCAAGTACCATCTGTATCACATGTAGGCTTTCTTGGTTGGTAGCAAGTGAATGGGAGTTTAGGGTCACCATTTGCCGGCGAAACATCGATAGAGAGTCCACTCGATGAGGCGCCCTCCCACGGCTACCGTGTTTGGGCGGTTAACTAGCGAAGCCTTCTTGTTTTCCCGGAAGGTTTGCCGGCCCTGGCGTCGCAGCCTGGCCCGTCTAGCTGCCCAACGCCTGCTAGCCAGGAATGACCCGCTTGGGCAGCGATAAATCCATTTCGGGCGCATCTGTGTAGCCTCTCAGATTTCGAGAGCCTTCTGTGCCATGGCAAGGGCACCCTCAAAGGTCTTGTTGCCTCCGATGAATCCCGCAGCGTGTACAAAAACGGAGCCGCTGATTCCGGATATCCCATCCAGCTCCTCATCGCGGAAACCCCTCCACGCCTCAGGCAGTGGTTTCCTGCTCTCAAACGAATCTTTGGTGCTTGGCACACACTGGATCCTCCACTTGGAATCCGGGACAGGCTTCTCCTTGTATAGCACATAGAGCACCTTGCCGCCCTCGGGGTGCTGCTCCTCCAAGGTGTAGAGGTGGTCTTTCCACGGCGCCGACTGGCCCTGCAGCACCATGATACGGCCCTGGCTGTCAAACTCCTGCCGTCCATTGAACGCCTCAGCAACCACTTCCCGCGCGGGCAGCCAGGCCTTGGTGAAGTAGTCGAGGTCGCGGTCGAACTCCTCGCCGATGCGCTGGCTAGCTAGCTCGAACCGCTTGTCCTCGGCCGCCTGCGCCTCGGCGGGGTCGGCGGGGGTGGGGTCGTTCCAGTTGGGGTTCAGCCGGCCGACCATGGCACCCAGGGTGAAGCCGCCGTTGGAAAACTTCTTTTCCAGACCAGCGGCCGCGAGCGCGGCCGAGTCGTAGACGCTGATGCCGTTGTCGTGCGCGTCCAGCGCCTCGACGAAGCTCTCGTAGATCTTGCGCCACAGCATGCCCACTTGCTCGCTGTCCTCGGCCTGCGCCAGGCGCCGGGCGATGATCTCACGCCCGAAGTGCATGTACACCAGCCCCGCGCTGCTCAGCTTGGTCTGGCGGTCGGGGAAGGTGGTGCTGAAGGTGCGCTGGTGGTGGTCGAAGCGGTTGCGCGCGGCGTCGTACTCGCCGCCGACGTCGACGACCGTGTGGCATTCCTCCAGCAGTTTAGGGTCGCGCGTCCGAACAAGCTTGGCGCCTGAGTAGGTCGGTACGTGGGTACGCAGCATGTAGACAGCTAGCGCCTCGTCGGCGTGGAAGTGACCGTTGTGTGTGCCGATGGCGACCACACCGTTGTCGGTCTGTAACCGCTTTGCTGCGTTTTCGCTCATTTTGAGCATGAGGGCTCTGAACATGCAATAATCTGGTTGGGTGTATGTGAGAAAAGGTCGAAACTAGGAAGTCCTTTTTTTTCCTATTTTTGACGTTGGGGTTTCCTTGGATGGCGAGCGATGCTTTTGGAGTTCTCCATAATTAATTCGGCAATGGAGTTGTGAACTTTCATACCAGCTGTATTAGACGTGAACTTACAAGGCTCTAAGCTGTGTATTAACGGCACCAAGGTGTAAGTACCGTAATACAAACGAAAAGCTCTCCATGTTACGTTATTCCTCCCTTCAACCATTCCAATACAGGGGTGCAACGCGCCATCCAACACGATGGACAATCAACGGCTCAGCCTTCTGTTTCTCCCTCGCCCTGACGCTTTGATATCCAGCACAGGCCGCTAGCCCGAACGCCCTTGTTACAAATTATTCTGCATCTCCAACGGAAATCCAAATCACAAACTCCATCGATCATTCAATTGACACCCACCTAAACACCACACACATGGAGGTCGCTGCGCGTAGCCGGCTCGACATGAAGGTCAAAGCCGAAGATGATTCCGGCGACGTCAGAATGACTGATGAAAAACCCACATACCGGTCATGGAAGAAGAAATACCGCAAAATGCGCATCATGTTCGACCAAAAGATGCATGATGGCGAAGAGCTTCACAGGCTCGAACAGAAGGCGCTGGCCACGGCCAAGAGACTCGCCGTACAGAAAGAGTAGGCTCTGCCGCAATTAATATTGGTTTGATGGCGTGACTTGCTAACTCTTCATCAGTCGGTTACTCGACCTCCTTCTCGATGTCAACAACTCGGGCCAGATCCCGCCCGAAAAGCAAATAGACCTCGCCATGGACCTCCCCTCCGACGATGCCGCGCTCTTCCTGGACTTCGACCGGCCGTCGACACCCCCGCCCGACCCGACGCCAGCCAAGCCCTACAAGAAACTTCTCCAAGAGGTACCACATTTCAGATTCGCGTCGGCCGCCGAGCGTTTCCCAGAGCTGCTCGCAGACCTCGAAGCCGGCCGGGACTCACCCTCGGACCCGGCCCAGGGCCAGTCGCACCCGCCTTCCTTCCTCACCGCCGACGACCTCGACAACTACATCTGGGAGCTGGACGCGCATCTCGCCAACGAAGACGCGGCGGCGGGGACCGGCAAAGCGGACGCGGTACCGCTACCCACGCTCGCGCCGCTCGCGCACGCCGACCGCCCCAACCCCAAGGACTCGCAGCGCGACTTCGCGGTGCGCAACCCGACGTCGGTCTACAACTGGCTGCGCAAGCACGCGCCTAAGACGTTTCTGCAAGACGGCGAGCACGAGAAAGACGGCGGCAAGGAGCACGGCGGCGGCGGCGGCGACGACGGTCACGGTGGGCACGGACACGGCGCCGGGACCGGCCGCCGCGGCAAGGGCGAGCGCGCGCCCCGCGGCACAGGCTCGGCGCGCTCCAAACGCACCAGCGCAGCGCACGGTCGGCCCGCGGCCGGCGCGACGGAGAGTTTCGACGACAACGATGACGAGCTCGGCTATGGCAACGGCGGAGGCGGTGCGGCAACGCCTAGCGCGGCGGGCGCCGGCAGCGGCGTGGGCAAGGGCAAGCGGAAGCGGGTTGTGGATGACGACCCCGGGTACAGGCCGAAGGGCGGCTCGAGTCGGCCGACCAAGAAGAAGCGCAAGAGCGAGGGCGCCGAACGGACGCCGACAGCGAAGGGGCCGCGAAAGAGTGAAACCCACGGTTGGTCGGGCCATAGCGCGGCCTCGGAGAGGAGTTCGTCGGCCAAGGGCTCGAGAAAGAGCGACGGAGTCGCGTGGTCTGGTCGACATGACGACGATTGATGGTTACAAAATCCAGAAGACCGTGCGGTACTTCTCGGCACGAATGTCTTGCGAAACTGTAACATCATCTGGTGGGGGGTAGGAGGGCGTCGCCAGACCTACCTAATATTCGGAGATTTGGCAACGGCTGGGAATAACATGGATTACGGGGTTTAGATTGGAGTTTCCTGCTAGTAAAGCGAGACTTGGCGTGGGCGTGGCGTTCTCTTTTCTCTCTCTCTCTCTCTTTCTCTTGGTTGTATCATTATCATGGTGCTCGTGGAAGTGTCGTATGTAGATTTAACCCCGTCCAAAACGGGTCGACCTCTTAGAGGGAATGCAGTTGCGTGACATGAAGGGGGCCGTGAATCAGGCGTCTTCTTGGCTTTCCCAGCCGTTGTATATACAAGGAACTGCTATGTTGTGACCCCCCAGCATCCGGCATATACATAGGATGCTGGTGACGGGTAATTGTGGCCGCAGATTGGGAGCACATGCAATGACAACGCCTAAACAATCAGGTAGCCCTGCTTTCCGACATCTACTCCTCCCCCCGTTGCGAAAATGGCCGCCCATGAATGTAATGAAAACTCAGGTTTCCTGGGGATCATATCCTAGAAAATTCTAACAGCCAGAAACGGCGTCGGTTGGTATCATTGGTTTCTTAAAGCTTTTCCTTCAGGCTCTGCTTCAACCTCCTCTCGACGGCGCTTAGGTACTCGCTAGTCGTGACGTAATCCTCGCGAGCGGTCTTGCCGCACGCGAGAGCCAAGTCCTTGGTCATGATCCCGTCGATGTCGACCGTGTCGATGCAAGCGCGCTCGAGGCCCTCAGCGAAAGCGACGACTTCGGGAGTCTCGTCCAGCTTGCCACGTTGGATCAAGCCGCGGGTCCAGGCGAAGATGGAGGCGATCGGGTTGGTCGAGGTCTCACGGCCCTTCTGGTGCTCGCGGTAATGGCGAGTAACGGTGCCATGGGCGGCCTCGGACTCGAAGGTCTTGCCGTCGGGGGTGATGAGGACCGAGGTCATCAGGCCCAGAGAGCCGAAACCCTGGGCAACGATATCGGACTGGACGTCACCGTCATAGTCTACCGGCCCGGTCAGTACTTTATATTCACCAAACCGCATGAAAACAATTCAGACTGCCAACTTACTCTTCAGAGCCATGATGTAACCACCGGTGCTCTTGATCATCTGGGCGACCATATCGTCGATCAGGCGGTGCTCGTACCAGATACCCTTGGCCTCAAACTGGGCCTTGTACCCTCCATCGTAAAGTTCCTGGAAGATGTCCTTGAAGCGACCGTCGTACTTCTTGAGGATGGTGTTCTTAGTGCTCATGTACAAGGGAAGACCCTTGTCAAGAGCGAGCTTGAAGCTAGCATGTGCGAAGCCTGTGATGCTCTCATCGGTGTTGTATTGGGTCTGGGCGACGCCGCCACCGTTCTTGAACTGGAACACCTCGATTTCCTGCGGTTCGCCGCCAGCCGGGGTGTAGACCATGCTAAGTTTGCCGGGGCCGGGGACGACAAGGTCCTTTGCACGGTACTGGTCGCCAAAGGCATGGCGGCCAATGATGATGGGCTTCTTCCACCCAGGTACCAGGCGGGGAATGCGGGGGATAACAATGGGCTCACGGAAAACAGTACCTCCAAGCGCATTTCGGATGGTACCATTGGGCGAAAGCCACACTGTTGGCGGTGAAAGAGAGGTTAGCTTCCCATTCGTTCATTCATATAGTCACTGCACAAAAAATGCGGCTACCGGGTCCAACATACTCTGCTTCAGCTTAAATTCCTCGACACGAGCCTCGTCGGGGGTGATGGTTGCGCACTTCACGCCCACCGAGTACTTCTTGATAGCTTCGGCGGCATCCAGGGTGACCTGATCATTGGTCTCGTCGCGGTACTCGAGGCCAAGATCGTAGTACTTGAGATCGACATCGAGATAGGGGAAGATAAACTTCTCCTTGATATCCTTCCAGATAACGCGGGTCATCTCATCACCGTCGAGCTCGACGACGGGATTCTTGACCTTGATCTTGGCGGGGGCGTCGGTAGCCATTGTGCGACGGTTGATCAAGGAGTAGACGAGGACGGGGGCGGTGCGGGGCACTGAGGACCTAGGTGTGGCACGGAAACTGCTGGAGGCCGGTTTGAAGGTGTTACGGGTGTAGGCGGATGTGCGGAGAAGGGAAGCACGAAAGGCTGCGGTAGACGGCGACATGATGGAAACAAGGAAGGAGGAAGTCGAACGTATAAGAGGTGGTTCTGAGATAGGCAGGAGGGTCGGGCTGTTCTTGCGCGCCGGATCGGTCCGCTCGAAGACAGCAGTTCGGGCCTTCGGAGCTGGAATTGGCAAGTGAGAGAGAAGCCCGGTGAATGGGAGCCGAGGAAGCAACCTCGATGTCGGGGCAAGGAAGCTCTTGATTGGATGTGTCGAGTGGGCCGCGGCAACTGCGTCCGGCAGAGGGGGAAGTTAAGAAGGGCGGGAGTCTGCACGAAAGCCCGAGACTAGGAGGACCCAGTGCCAACCGTTGAGGACTGCGCTTTCCTGGTCGTGACACGAAATGTCAGTTTTGCTTGGCGGGGTCTTGGAGAAGCTGTGGGCGACGAGGTTAGCAGGGTGGCTCGAAATGTGGAGCGAGGGCGATCAGTGGGATAATATACATGCGAGAAAGTCCAGGCAGGGGATCTGAGACACTGGGATCTCAATCAACAAGAGCCTGATTCAAGGTGTCGGTTGCACTCCTCCCGCGTTGTTTACAGGTTGTTGTCTGCTCTCGGCTCCAATCCAGGTGATCAGCGAAATGCGCACTGATTGAACAGAAGGGTGTGCTCGATGACATATGGGCAAACTCTTCCCGGGAAGCGGGGCACGAGGGGAATGGAACAGAGGCTCTGGGACCCCAATTCCCCACACTGACCCCTGGTCCCATGAGAGCATGCAAGCATGCAGGCTGCGGGGTTGGTCTGGAAAACCACTCATCCGAGATCGCAATGAGCCGAGCCGGCGGCGATAAGGAACGGATATCGCCGGATATACATATTAGAAACACCAGCTGCAACAATCAGCCAACATAGCACGTCATGATACTCCCTCAGCCGGTTGAAACTAGGAGTTTATGGGAAAGTACACAGTATGCACAATTGCCTTGGAGAGTTCGCTGGTCGAAAATATACCCTACGGTATTCTCCTTCGCCCCAACCCTCCACTTGCTTGTCCTCGGCCCTAGAACTGAACGCGACAGGCCGCCCCACCTCAGTTCTCACATCTTGACCAAATCGCTTCTTCAGACAGTACAAAGTCATCGTCCCCCCGTTCAATTGTTTGCAAGAATAAATGGATGGCGGGATTCTTGTCCCGGAACGTACCCCATCACCTCTATCGTTTTAATACCCCGATGTGCCTCCGTCTTCCGCCCTCCCGAACAAAAGAAAACGTACAACGTTGATACACAGCCTCGCCGGGCCGAAGATGGCGCAAGGTCATGTGGGAAGAAAGCAACTGCCTGCATGATACAGCCAGCCCTCCATCCCCATTGAAAACGTGGGTGCTGAAGTCTCCCGTGGTTGCCAGATAGGCATTGGGCCGGAGACTTCATGATATAAACGAAGAAAACCTCGGGCGCCTGTATTTGCCCGCCGACGTCACATAAACCACCAGTCCCCCAGACGCCCAGAAAATCAAGGACAGGAAGCACCGAAACCGAAAATGACCCCAAGTGTCCCGATAATGAACGGAATGCCCTGCTTGGTGCTGCCAAGACACCACACTGCCCCACTTGGAACTCAACTCCTCGACTGCTTGTCATTCATTCGTAGTGGAGGAAGGAAAAGGACTTGCATGAACAACAAACAAGCAAGAAAACAACCGAGAACTGGCACTGCTGAGCAATTAAAGAACGAAAAGGATTTGGATTTGGAAAAGAAAGACTCCGACATGAAACCAAGAGGAATATGAAAGAGAAATATGAAAGAGGAAGGCACCTTCCACCAAGAGGAAAACAACAGACCAAGGCAATGGACGTAATATCCACCCCTTTGCTGCAGCCGCCTTAGAGCCCGGCATTTGCGATCATCTGCCTGTACTGCTGGCGTTCCTTCTCGCAGCAAGTCTTGCATCCGGGGCAGGCAAAACCATTCTTCTTGGAACGGACCTTCATGAGGCAGCGGGTGCAACGCCACCAGCCATTCTTTAGAGCGTCCGGGTTACGGTCCGACCACCACTCCTCGCCGCCCTTGCTTCCGCGCCGCACGAGATCTTCCCGGTGGTATTCGCGGAGGTGGTCTCGAAAGTGGTCTTGCCGGTAGAAGGGCGTGGTGTGCCGGCCGCACTTCGGGTAATCGCAGTAGTACCCCTTTTTTTGGTCGTCGGCGAGGTGCATGATCTTGTAGTGCCGGTCTAGGTCGGCCTGTCGACGGGCCATATGCTTGCATCCACGGTATGGGCATTTGAACTTTTCTTTTTCCGATGACGATGAGGCCCTGTGTGATATCGTTAGCAAGGCTTGCGGTACCCTAGACGAGGGCCAAGGTGGTGCGACTCACTGGCCCGGAACCGAGTCAGGGCTGCAAGCATCATCAGCCTGCCCCGAGCTTACACCGTTGTTGTCAGCTTCCAGGTTGCCGGTCAGGCTGGCAAGGACTGCGGCGATGGCTAAGAAACATATATCGATCACATCCGGCCCTTGGAGTCGTATTTGGAGCTGGTAGGCGGCCTCTTGGAGTAATCGGACGATCTCAGGGTAGAAGTGATCAGTGTCACCAAATCTGAGGTCGAGTTGCTGGCGAAGGACAGCCTGGACCGCTAGGCGGACCGGTTCCTCGTCACCCCGCCCCTGGTGCCGCCACAAAGCTTCTTCGACTGCCTCCGAGGTAATAAGAAACGGGCCGCCACCCGAGAAGGTCTGCCGATTGACGATTAGGGAATTTGCTGCCTGGGTCGCTTGCCAGGCGGCTTCCTCATTACCGGCCTTCGTGCCGAAAAGCTGGAGAGTGTTGGGGAGTTGTAATGCCTGAGGTATCTGAATCCCACTCTGCTGGTATTGTGACCCAGTAGCAGATAGCATGTGATTGGCATCAAGTGTGTCGTGAAAGGAGTATGGGTCGGGATACGATGATGTCTCCCGGTAGGTCTCATCTTCGGGAAGGGTGCACTCGAGCGAGAAATCGGTCGCTGAAGAATATCCTGATACCACAGTGCTGGCTGTGTAGCTACTGTTTATGGTACAGGCGGTTGACTGGGAGTCGCTCCTCTGCATGCTGGCTGAACCATCCCAAAACCCATCTTGGGTTGGGGGGTCCGAAAGGTACAAGGAGTCCGGGTACGACGCCATCGAAATTATGGCTGGCCGTGAGAAGGTGCGGTGATGCCCGGGCCTGACCGTACTGTTAACCGGTCACGTCTTGCAGAGAAATTTCGGGGGGTGGTTGGCACCAAGGAGTCGCAAACGCGAAAGAACTGTGGTCCTCGGCAGAGAACCCAAGTATACTTTATTTGTGATAACTGGCTGAGACTTGAATAAGGTCATATATGGGGAAGGGTGGAGAACAAGTGTGCAGAGGATGCCCGTGATAAATACGCACGGCCTGGCAACACCATGTGGACAAGTTTCCATCGCTACTAATACCCCTAGCACACCCAATCATCCCTGTCGAAGATAATTCGTGAAGTGAGGCGGAATGACACATTTTTCACCGTAGGTAAGGCGAACGAAGGCCGACATCGAGGTTGCTAGAACAGGAAAACCGCTGGATAAGGCCCAGGGCGGGAGGGAAGGTCGCGGTAACTCACAAACGACGTCGAATGGGAGTGGGCTTTACTTCTATATTTGAGAACTAAGGGTTAACCCTCACTCGCCAAACCCATACAAATTCCCGTAACTTATTGATCTAAGGGGCCTGGAAGTGACAAATCACCAGACCCCTCACACGTATCCTAGAACTTTCCCCCCAATCACTCCCCCTACATTTGCATTGATCCCATCACGCCATCCCTCCCCCCCATAGCCGTAACCCTACTATTATTTTTTCACCCTCACACAACCCACAACCAGTGATATAATTGTATTTTTTATTGTATATATATATAATTATATTTATATAAATAATTATATTTACTTGTCTATTCGAGCAGATGAGTGTTAGAGAGACAATAACTACTTAATATCCTAATAAAAT